GTAACAGTCGGGGAGGTCAAAAACCTCTCCAACCCATATAATCCAAAACGCGAAAGGCGTGAGCATCCGGAATATCAGGTTCGGTCGCTTTAGTGTGGCCGTTCTTAGATTATCACTGACACGTGGATGTCTACTATTCGAAGGAGCATTAGATGTTATGCGCCGTCGGGCCCACATGCCTCTGTTTTCCACTCCTTTTTCCTTTCTGCTTCAAATTTGGCTACTATTTTTTTTATCGGGTGTTGTTACTTGGTAGATACCGATTAAAATTTATTATTATTATATTAAAAGTTCTAATAGAATTATAGTATTTTATTAAAAAAATAATATTAATTTTATATTTTTAGTACTAATTAATATTTAGTTTTTAGTTCAAATGTTTTTAATTTACTTTTTTTCATCCAAATAAATATGAATTTAATTTATATAACTGATATAATGTAATTTTATTTACATTCATTAATAATTAATATATAAAATACATTATAATGCATTTTTAATTAATTTTTATAATGCACTAAAATCAAACTTAATGAATATTACAATCAGTATTTCTAAAATATTCTTTGAACTTTATGAAAGGTTTTATTAATATTAATTCTTGTAATTAATTTTAAGCATTAAAAGTGAAAAATATTTTTAAACTATTATAGATGAATAAAAACTTATAATAAATATTAGTGTTAAAAAATTACTTTATTAATTTGAGTGTCTTATTATTACTTTTATATATTTATTTCCATTTTTAATATTAATTAGTTGAAAAAGTTACCTGAAACAAAAATTATTTAAATGAAAGTAATAGTATACTAACCCTGTTAACTTTGATTAATTATGTTTTTTTTAATTTTTTATATGAGTATTTTAGTGTCAATTTTGTTAATACAAAAGCTATATATCTATAACTCAAACTCAAAATCAGTATGTAAGTTAGAAGAAGCTCGTTCCAAATGATCTATTGAATTGGGTTTCTATCAATTAACATACTCAAGGAGCTCTTGTGAGTTTAAGTATCAATAAATTAATGTTAAAAAATTAACTCGATGGAATTAATCATTGTTGTTTTTTATTAATTAAAAATGTTAATTATATTGTTGATCAAAATTGCAATAAGTAATGATTTTTTTATATTACTTATTATTATTTTTTATTCTAAAATATGTAAACTTTTTTAAAAAGTTATTAATTATATAAAGTGTTAAAATAAAACGGTATTTTGACAAAAAAAAGTATTTATTAAAAAATTTAAATGTAATTGTAAATATATTGAAGTATTTAATATATACTAATAAATATTTGTATCAATAAAAAAATATTTTCGTTATTTTTTAAAGTGATAGAACTAAGGTGGTTGGTGGTGTAAATAATTGATAAATAAATAAAAATAATTTTTAATTATATATATATTGCATATAATGAAGTCGTTGAAATTAAAAAAAAAAATACAATGTTAAGAAAGTTAGACTATTATTAAACTGGTTAAAGCACTTGTTTAAAGTTTAATGGTCAAATCATTTGAATTAAATAATATTTTTAAATAAATTATAATTAATATATTAAATAAATGTTTAAAAAAACTTAATACTATAATTTTGTAACAACTATTTTTATATTTTAATTGTCAAAATTACATGTAAAAATTTAAATATAATAAAACATAGTTCACCAAAATAAGTTCACTAATAATGATATTTAAAAACTAAAATAAAGAAATAAAAAAAAAATACTATCAAAAGTTTTAGAAATAATGATATTCATCAATGCTGAATTTTTCATTTGTCTCGTCAAGATGAAAATATGTATCTAATATTGCTTATTGGGGAATTTCAACTTCTTCATTACCTAATTAAATATTTTGCAAAATACAACATATACAATACAGTTAAAGAATAAATAATATAATATTTTATTTCATTAATTTATAAGATTGTATTATCTTAATAAATATCAATTTTATTCTCATTCTAAAAATTTTCTCTATAAATAATAAAAAAAAACAAAGTTGTTCAATTGCATAAGAAAAAATTGAGTTGAACAAGCCAACTATCAATTTTTTCTAATTTAATTAATTTTGGACTAGTTTTTAGAATATTCAATTTATTGATTAATACTAGACCAGTCTGAATTGATTAGTCCATCTAATCTTGTAAATCATAAAAGAATATTTTCAAAATATTTTTAAAAAAATATACTTTCTAAGATAAAGAAAATAATTGTTTGATGTATAATTAAGAGAGAGAGCATAAAAGAGACAGATTAGTGTGTTAGAATTTGATGCTCTACAGTATGTAGAGACCCTTATATTTATAAAGGTACATATAATTCTACTAGATCAAACTCATTATTATAATACTAACATAAACCTTAATCTAAATATGTTTATTATAACTATTCATAACACTCCTTCTTAAGTTAGAGCATAGATATTAATCATGTCTAACTTGTTACAAATATAATAGTTACATATCTCATTTAAAGCCTTTATTAACATATCTACTAGTTGATGACTTGTTCTAACATGAGAGATGAATATAAGCTTTTGTTGAATTTTTTTTTGAATAAAGTGACAATTTGTGTTAATATGTTTCGTCTACTCATAAAAAAAACTAGATTTGAGGCAATGTGTATGACTGTCCTAATTATCACACCAAAGTTGCATAGACTTAATGCTACCAAATTTTATCTTTTTTAACATATGTTTAAGCCACATTATTATAAATAGTCTATATAACATAAATATTTTATTATTTATGTGAAACTATCATTTTATTCCATTCACAGTAAGATTGACCTTTAGCAAGTGTTGATGAAATAAAATATTTTTTTCAAGTTTGATAAAACAAACAATTATGATTGGTAAAGATAAACACATATTTCTACTTTTTACATGCTAAGTTGATTATAAAACTTGCTCATCATGTAATGTAATTAAGATATAATCTATTTTTATCTTTAATTGGAGGAAATGTGCATTAACCTAATGATTACAAAAAAAACTTTGTACTAAAAATATTTTTCATCCTTTTAAGGTCATTCTTGTTTGTTATTACCAAACTTTTTTTGTATAATTTTTTTATAATTTAAATTTCATACTCACATCTTGAAAATGTGACACTTAAAGAGATTTAAGAAAAATATTTAGATTTAAATATCAAGAAGTTATATAATAATATTTAAAACTTGTTCTTTGCAATAACAGCCTTAGCATATAATTAATGGGTAAATTTAATCTGGAGTTTATTGAGTGAATATGTGTCAATTTTATTTTTAATTTTCTTTTTGTTTTTCTTTAGAGATTGTCTAGGAATGAAAAGGAAAAAGAAAGATAAATTTTATATTTTAAATAAATATATTTAAAATTAATATATATTTAAAATAAATGATATAAGTTAATATATTGATTTAAATTTAATATATTAATCATATATTTATTATCTTAAGTGATATATAATAATTTTAATTTAAAATAAAAAAATACCTTTCTCTCTATTTCTCTTCAAAATATCATTTCTAAATATATTTTTAAACTTTATATTTAATTTTTAAGAATTTGTTTGAAGTGATAAATTTTGTCTTTAAAAAAAATAATTTTTTGTATAACTATAAGCAGTTTTGTAAAACCTATAGTCTGTATAGTTAACCAATGGTTGGCCATCAACAACTTTTAAATAAAATTAAGAACCAAATAAAAAATCTATTTAACTCCATTCTTATATTTCTTTAATTTTTCTATAAAACAATAAATATCATAAGATAAATTAAAACATTCAGAGTGACGTATAACATAAGATAAAATAATAAAAAATATAAACAATATTTAAAAACAATTGCGTATTGGTTGAAAGATAGGCAATTTTGCCTTAGACATAAGAATATCTTAGCGAACAATTGAATATTGAGCACTTTCTAACTACGCATATTGTTAACAGAGTGAAATTCTCTTTGGAGTGATTTAAAGTTTGATTCCGAGAGTACTCTGAATGAAAAAAAATATATTATTTAAATAATTTTCATCCCTTGATATTTATTTAGTCGAATTATAAGAAATTAATTCCATTCTCAAAAGGAAGCCTTTTTTTTTATATATATATATAAAGAAAAAATTATAAAATATTTTTTTAAAAATTATAAAAATATAAGAACTTTTGACAATTTTCCAACTATCATTAGTGGCATTTTTTTAGTACTTTTAAATTTTTTTATTATTGCCACAGACTATTTTTAAAATTTTAAGACTTTTTGTTGTTTTATTAGTATTTATATTAAAAATTATTATTGACGTTTTTGAACTCCATATCTTTATATATTTTTTTAAAATAATATGTTTTAGTATATATATAATTTTTAAATTATATATATATAACTAAAAGGAGTCGATAAAAAATTAAAAAAAAAACTAAATAAATGCATAGACCTTATTATCGGCATTATTTAGATTAATTTTCAAGATAATATGTAAAATAATGATGTACCATTTATGTAAATAAAGTTCTTTCTATAGTATATTTTCTTGTTTTATCACATATTTTAATGTCAAATTCGCAGTTAAAATTAATTTTAAGAATATTTTAATTACATTATATAAGTCAATATAACTGTATTAAAATCAATAATGAATAGTTTTAAAATAAATAAATAATATTGTAAGAAGTTCTTACGACGAATACATATGGGGTGTTATTATTAATTTTTTTTATGGTTTTTGCGAACTAGTTATCAACTTCTTTTTACAAAATTACGAAAATAAAATTATATGTCTATACGAAAGATAGGTTTTTTTAAAAATATTAATTGTACAATATTTTGTAAAAAATATAAATGCAATAAAAAATGTGATAAGATACATAAAAATATAATTTGTGGTAATTTATTATTTTTTAATAAAATTAATGGAATTGGTAAAGAGAAAGAGAAACTGGTGACTGGCAATGCAGCCAGGTGGGTTCCACTTTTTTGACCCAAACCATATGAAAAAATAAATTAAAAAAGACAGAGAAAGAGGGAAGAGAAAAGTCTTCCACTCTCCCTAAAAAGCTTTGCAAGTTTTAAAGCAAACACAAAACCAGAGCTTGCTATCTTTGTTTTGTGTGTTTGTGTCTCTTAAGGTATGCTTCTTTCGTTCTAACATAGTCCTTGTTTTCTCCTCTTCCTCTTCGTGTTGATGTTTCTTTTAGTTTGAGTTTAAAAATTGAACCTTTATTAGTTCCTGAAACTGTTGTGTGTTTTCCTTGGTTGCCAAGAAAAATTCTGAAAATGATGCGTTTTGGCTTGAGAGATTTGATTGATATGAAGAAAAATCATGTGAACCATGTTAAAAATATACGCTTTTTCTCTCCCCAACAAAGAAACAAAGGACAGGTTGTATATGCTATTTTGTTTCTGTTTGCAACCATTTCTCGTTTCCTAGCTTTGCTGGATTCGTGCTAATTTTTATAGTTATTGGTAACTAACTATAAATAACTGAAAGAATGAACCTTTGTCAATTATACGTATGCTTTTTGCAAATTTATTGGTGATTACATGTTTCTGTAACTTTCTAAGCTGTGTTTGTTTGCTCAACAGTCATCTGCATCAACAAAATGCGGAGAATCTGCCCCTTAGTTTTTATTTATTTGTTTTTCATTTTTGTTATCTTAGATTGTGTTTTATGTGCTTTAAATTTGAAACATCATGTTTGGTGCAATAGGGTTTGAACCTGTTCTCTCTTGTGATTTTTCAGATTCTATTGAGGCCTTAGGGGTACATATCTCCATGTGCGGTGTTTCCAAGAGGAAACCTTCTCAAACTGGTTTGGTGATGGAGGGTGAGTATGGAAAAGAAGAGTTGCATCATAAAATTTCTGCTTTGCTTGAATTTTCAGCTGCAGATGATGTAATTGGTTTCAAAGATGCGGTTGAAAAGAAGGGTTGTGATGTGGATGAGGTAGGCTTGTGGTACGGAAGGCGTGTTGGCTCAAAGAAAATAGGTTATGAAGAGAGGACACCTCTCATGATTGCTGCTATGTTTGGAAGCCTTGGTGTGTCAAATTATATTCTTGAAACAGGTCATGTTGATGTTAACCGGGCTAGTGGTTCAGATGGAGCCACTGCTCTTCATTGTGCGGTTGCTGGGGGTTCTGCTGCTTCTGTTGAGGTTGCCAAGCTTTTGCTTGATGCATCTGCTGATGCCAGTGCTGTTGATGCCAATGGTAATCGACCCCTTGACTTGATTGTTTCTGTGGCTAATTCTATGTTCACTCCTAGGACAAGGATGGTACAAGCTCTACTGGAGGGTACAGGTGGTGCTGATCAGGCATGTCTTGCACTTCCAGAAGTGATTGATCGAATTGAGGAACAAAGACAATATATTAGCACACCTCGTGTTTCTGAGAAGAAAGATTATCCTGTTGATCTCTCCCTTCCAGACATAAAGAATGGGATATATAGTACTGACGAATTTAGGATGTATTCATTCAAAGTGAAGCCTTGTTCAAGGGCTTATTCTCATGATTGGACTGAGTGCCCCTTTGTTCATCCAGGGGAAAATGCAAGGCGGCGTGATCCAAGGAAATATCATTATAGCTGTGTCCCTTGTCCTGAATTTCGGAAGGGATCTTGTAGCAAGGGTGATGCCTGTGAGTATGCACATGGTATTTTTGAGTGCTGGCTTCACCCTGCCCAATATCGTACACGGCTTTGCAAGGATGAAAGTGGATGCACACGCAGGGTTTGCTTCTTTGCTCACAAGCCTGAGGAGCTGCGCCCCTTGTATGCTTCTACAGGTTCTGCTATTCCTTCTCCTAGATCATATTCTGCTAGTGCTTCTGTGTTGGAGATGGGTTCAGTTAGCCCAATTGCACTTGGTTCTCCATCTGTATTGATACCTCCTTCCTCAACACCACCTTTGACTCCATCTGGAGCATCTTCTCCTGTTGCTGGAGCCATGTGGTCTCAATGTAATGTTTCGGTTCCTACACTGCAGCTGCCCAAAAGCAGATTGAAGTCTGCATCAACTGCTAGAGATATTGATTTAGATATGGAAATGCTTGGACGAGAAACTCATCGACGCAGACAACAACTAATGATGGATGAGATATCTGGTGTTTCCTCTCCTTCCAACTGGAAAAATTCCATGCCTAATAGTCCATCTTTTTCCGTTTCTTTGGGCGATCATTCTGGTGAATTAAATAGGCTTTCGGGGGTGAAGCCTACTAACCTTGAAGACATCTTTGGATCTCTCGATCCATCAATGTTGCAGAAATTCCATGGAATCTCGCTTGATGTTGCAGGATCTCAGTTACAATCTCCAACCGGAATCCAGATGCGTCAAAGTGTGAACCAGCAGCTAGGAAGCTATTCTTCTGGCCTTTCCACTTCAAATGTGATTGGATCGCGGTCCTTTAGAATTGATCCATCTGGGGATGCAGCCACAGTGGCTTTGAATCCAAGAGCTGCTGCCTTTGCAAAGCGGAGCCAAAGCTTTATTGAGCGTAGTGTGGTGAACCATCATTCTGAGCTTCCTTCTCCTGCTACCTCTGTAGCTGCAAAGCCTTCTACCTTCTCTGATTGGGGCTCCCCTGATGGAAAATTAGATTGGACCATAAATGGAGAAGAGCTGAATAAGCTGAGGAAGTGTGCTTCTTTTGGATTTCGTAACGGCAATAGTCCTTTAACCATGGCTAAAACCAAAGTGCCTGCAAATGTTGACGAGCCAGATGTCTCTTGGGTTCACTCACTTGTGAAGGATGCTCCACTGGAATCTGGTGAGTACGGTGTTGAAGATCAGCAAAAACAACTGCAGTGCCACCTTAACAATGGAACAGATGCGATTCCAGCATGGTTGGAGCAAATGTACATTGAGCAGGAGCAAATGGTGGCGTGAAAGCAATTTCAAGACTTGCGTTGGCTTCTTCTTGCAACTCAAAAGTTTATTATTTGATGATTTTTTGAATTTTATAGAACTTAGTTAGATGACAATTTGTAAAAGGATGGTAAAATAGTCTACCAAGGCTAGGATACAGAAGTTGGGCAGGATGCAAGTTTTCTGCTTCAGTAACTACCCATTACTATGTTATAATTGATTCCATTTTTTTCACCGATCTTTTTCATTATATGTTCTATCGAGTTGTAAGTTGTAACTTTTCATTGACAGAATTACCACCAAAAGTAGCGGGGATAATGTAATCAACATAATGAGATTGGAGATGTAATGATATAAAAAATTCCAATTTTCAATTTGCATATCATGTATTATAGCCTTTTCATTTGGTTCTCACAGATTTAGTTTCTTTAATGTTTTGTTGTGTTTGCTGTCAGTTATCATTATTGCAGCAGCTGAATAGGTTACCGTGTTTGTTTTGACGTTTGAACATGTTCTTTATGCTTTCAAATGGAGAAGCAATAATGTGTTACTGTGGGATAAATGAAAGTTTGAGTGCTAGCTGGTCAACTTTGGCGACTTTTATTTTTCCCATTAGCCATACACGAATGTTTAAATGGGTCCAATCTAGTTATAGCGTAGGTGAGCTAACGTAGGCTTATTTAAATGCTGCTATACTATATATGCCACTTGTAGTTTGTAGGTGTAACACTACTTTTTAGATTTACTTCTTCTTTAATGTCTGGGATTCATCAAGTCTCGTGTAAGCTGTAATAAACAGAGTGTATATTTGGATGAACATTTATAAAATTTAGTTTAAATGATGTAAAATTAATTTTATTTAAATGAGTTTTAATTGATGTAATTTATGTTTATTTTTTTAAAAAAACTAAAAGTAAGTTTAAGTAAAACTTAGTATAAATTTTTAATTTAATGCTAAAATTATGATTAATCACGTTTACTTAAACTTAGTCAAAATCAAATTTTCTTCAAACATACTAAATATGTTCGTATAATAATCAAAGCACATCTACATCTATTCAACTTGATTGTGGAGATGTAAACATGTTTTCAAGCATACCCTGAATTTTGTCTGCACTTAGTAGTTTTTGGAATCACGCTTGGATGGGTGTAGATTAGTATTTATTTATTGGTTATAACTAATAATATTTGTATTGAATTCATGTATACAGATTTTTTGACGTATTTCTAAACACAGACTATATCTCCCTTTAAGATACCTTCTTTATTCTGAAGCTTTTATTAGGAATAACTGTTAAGTATTTAGGGTTTATTTTATGCAACTAAAAGGAAGATATCTCTTAGCAAAACAGTATTAAGAAAACTGTTTTAAGAACATGGATAGTTTCTTTTGCTGCACACTAGTAACTTTTTTTTCCCTGAAATATTTTTCCGTACTCTCCACCAATTCCTTTGTGGATTCTGCCTGCTACTTTTTGGCAATCGAAGTTTACATTCATTGGTTCACAGTTATGAATGTGGAGGATTGCAAAGCACTAAGAAAAAGCATTCTCAAAAGCTAAACGTATTGCACTTGGCTTTTTATCAGCCTTTTATTTTTCCTTGGGACATTGAACAATTTCACTAGCTCAGACCTCTATAAAAATTTTGGCCATAATTGACATCTCTATGGATAATGAAATTTGTCAATCTTAGAAGCACTGAGGAAGGAGTAAAAATGGGTTACGCTGCTTCTAAGCTGCGTGTGTTTGACTCCTTAATAGATTTTATTCAAACTCAACTGAAAGCTTAAAAAAAACTTGATTTGTTGGAATGCAAGCTAAGGTATATTAATTATATTTACAAGTTGAATTTAAGCTTTTAGCTTGTTGATACATTATTCATTTTTGCATAGATTTGTTTTTCTAAAAAGGATAAAAAATCAAGTAGTCATCTTTGAGTCAATTCTAGTTAAGTTTTTTTAAGTAGGTACAGTCAAAATAGTAATTTTTGGAAACAGTTAACAATATAGCAAGGAATAATTTCTTTTTAATTACCATCTAAGAAAACGTCCATGGTTTTAGCTGATTCAATGATCAGAGAGGAGTTGAGTAGGTTAATATTTATTTGATTATATTTTGTATAATTGGTTGAACTATTTGGGGGTGAAAATGTTGGCTGTCATTGCTGTCGTTTGTTTTCCAAAGGTAGCTTTAATATATTTAGTGGGTACAGCATTTGGCCACTTGTGTAGAAAATCAATTGTAGCTTTAATATTTTAGTGGACACAACATTTGGCCCCTTGTGTAGAAAAAGACCATCTGCACTGTACTTGTAGTTGCCTCGTGAAATTGAAGTTGACTTACTTGTGCTATGTGAATTGAAGTGTATATTAAGATGAATTTTCTTATTAGCACATTAATACTTTTATAATTTCTATCATCTTCATACTTTTCTTATTAGAAATTTAAAGATAGAAAAAGAGTCTCCAAGGTACCTTTAACATTTCAGTGGTAGTGGATACAGCATTTGGCTCCATGTGTAAAGAAAAATTGCACTATATTTGTAGTTGCCTCGCGAAATTGAAATTGACTTGTTAGTGCCGTGTGCAGTGTATATAAGAGGAACTTCGTTATTTCCACATCAGTGTGTTATAATGTTTTTCCCCCTCTGTTTTATTGTAAGATAATGTAAATAAAATAATATGCAACTAAAGTTACTTTATTATGATCCCGAGCCAATGACAACTTGTAGGACAAAAGCCAAAGAAGCCGCAATCCACAAGTGGTTAGTGCCATTCAGTGGAGAATGTTTATTGGGTTTAGTGATGCCATTTTAAACATGCTTTGTGTGGAATTTTCTTTGAATAAAGACATTGCAACAAGGCTAAGACTATGATCTTGTGCCATGTGTCATATTTAGATAAAGCACGATCAAAACACATTGCAACAAAGAAACTAGCAAAATGACAGAATCTTCCTTGATGCCCCATGAGCCAGAGACAATTAGAATTAAACAATAACAAGAGGGAGAATCTATCTTTTTTTTACACTTCATTAACTCGCTTGTTTTACAAATTTTCTAGTTGCAATGCTTTCAAAGGATTCTCAACAAGCTGTTCTATAAGCTCATTTAACAAGTGATCAAAAATTTCTGACTCAAAATCTGCATTTATATTTTCAAAATCACTTTGTTTCCTCACTCCTCCCTCTAATTGACTTGATCTCAATTCATCTTCCACCAACCTACAAATTTCTCCCCAAATATCTATACATTCCCGGCTTTGCTTCTCTTTTTCCTTTGATCCTTCATGTTTGTTGTTCTCAATTGCCTTAACCTTCTTGTCTTCAATGATCAAGTTTTTATCACAATGCAGTATAAAAAGCTGGTCATTTTCAAGCTCTGGTGACAATTTTCTTCTCCAACTCATACCAACACCAAATGAATCCTCCTCTGCAACCAGTTTGTGTACAATAAGTTAGCAAATTTTAAACTCTTAAGACAAACAATTTTATTATTTAAATATCTAAAAATTGACTTAATATACGATAATGTATATGGTTATTTTTGTCTCGCTTACTTTTTATCCTTTTTTTTTTTGCTAATTACTTTTTATCCATTTTAATAAGTAGTTCTCAAAAACATTCCTCAAAATAAAATAAAATAAAATAAACAAAGGGAACAGCTTTTGTTATCCATTTTAGTTGGTCATAAAACATTTTTACAAAAAAAAAAAAAAACAACTCTTGATTAGACATGATATATCTGGAGTGATTTTAGAAATACAACTTAATTAGATATGTATTCATCTATTATTATTATTTGCATAAGGATTTATTGTATCAAGTTGATTATAAAATTTCTTGAATTAAGTTATAAATTTCTTATTCTAATAAATTGAGAAGTTATTAAAATAAAAAGAAAAGAACTTACAAGATGTACAAGTTATTTCATAACTTCTTAACGTGACAATGACAAATTCACAACTACTATAACCATACCAAGAAAAAATGAGCTCTAGGAAACAAACCTGTTCTAGGAGCTTCACGCTCAAAATCGAAGACAGAAACTGGGCTTGAATCTTCTGAACTGCATTCAGTTTCTACCTTCTTTTCTGCATAACAGGTGGTTCCCTTCTTTCTCCTCTTCACTTTCTCACCATTGGTAACTTCCTTCCGCTTCATGGGGTGTGAGAATTTTGCAGCTTCTGATTCAATGTACTCCTTTTCAGAAGAAACCTTGAACAGAGACGAATTGTTGGCAATTTGAAGTTTATGTTTACCATCATTTCCGACATTGAGATATGACATATCAGACAACTTCATTTTCTCATCATGACGTACCTTTTCTCTCTTGTTTTTGAGTTCACCTCTCTCTTCTCGTTTCTGCTTCAACTCTGAAGAACCCTTTTCTTTTCTTCTTCCTTTGGACTTGAATTCTTTACTCTCACCAGCTCCATTTTCGAAGCTGAGTACCAAGAAGTTCTCATTTTCAAGCAAGTGGAAAGTTGAAACCTCACGAAATGATGAAGATTTAACATGCTTGTGTTGACCATCCATTTGCTTGCATTCCCCCAAGTAGTCCACGAAGTTCATGGATTTGCTACGTGAGAGTGAAGAACTTGAGTTTGCTTCAAAGGGCGTGTGTCTCTCTCCCATTGAGTTCAAACCCATTAACCTTGCTACCAACCCAGGAGTAACAGTAGTAGTAGCGGTGGTGGTGGTAGCTTCAGTGTTTTGCTTAGCCTTAAATTCTTGAACTTTGCCATTCATCTTTGACATTGAATCAAGTTCTCTTATTTGGTCTGATGGGTGTGTTGGAAGGCCACCGGAGCAGAGAATCCTTCGCAAAATGGCTGTGAGATACCCTGCAGAAGCACTTTTGGAGTTGCACAAAGGCGGGTCAAAACTGAGGGTAGATGAAGAAGAAGAAGAAGATGGCGATGTTGAATAAGATGATGATGATGATGTTAAGAGCTTCATGTTGAATGATTTAGTAGTAAATAGTAAACAAGGGAAACTGCAAAAGAGAAGAGAATGATGAAAAAGTGAAGTCGGTTTTCTTTTTGGATTCTCTTAACTCTCCAAAGAGAAAAGGCAAATGGGATGGATGGGATGAGCAATCAAAAGTGGGATTTGAATTTTGCTATATCAGAGAGAAGGGTGGCGGGCTTTGCATTTGAAAGTGTGAGAAGGAGCAAGTTAGGATGAGGTACTTTTGTTTTTGCCCATTGACAAGTCATTTTTTGGCCAAATTTGTCCTTTTATTTCCTTGCATGGAGCAAACACAAGCCCTCCCTTGGGGCTCGTTATGGTGGCACTTTTACTACCTTATTTGAAGTTCAAACACTAGGAAAGGAAAAGAATGACTCAATAAGCAATGAGTGTGGCCTTTAGATATGGTTTCAGCATATTGATTTTGATGATAGAAGCTAAGTGTCAGATTGTTGTTGTTTGGTCTAAGCTTGGCAGTGATTGTATAGTTTGTAGTTTTGTGTGGAGGGAGAGACATTGACAGAATGTGTTTGTTTTTTCAGGTCAGAGTAACTGGTAATGCCAGTGACCTGACCAAATTCTTTTGGGTTCTGTAGCATAAGATACTGACTTTTGGTTGTGGTTGTTCCAACATAGTCACTATTATTTGGCCTTTGGGGTTAAGTAAGGTTGAATGTTAAATAGTAGTACAATGATGTGCTTAGAGTTACCAGTCCCCACTAACCAACTCAAGGAGTAGTACATAAGGAGAGTGGTAGAATCCTCCTTCTGAGACCACTTTGAAGTTTTCAAAACGCTTCCCACGTCACAAAAGGTCAAAAGATAAAAACCATAACTGAAGTTTCTAATTTGGCCTAACTTTTAAAGCTTTAGTACCTGAGAATGTAAATTATGAATTTGGATTTCAAACTGAATCAAAGCTAAGTCACTGGTTGACTAGGTGTGACTTTAATTAGACTTCATGATTTATAGTTGTAAACATCCTTAGTCTAACTAACTGAGGTTTGACATTTTCTTTTCAATGCTTGTCATTTACAAGTTACTCTAAAAATACAGCAAACTATTATTTATTAACATTCTGCTTTGGAGATTATGTCAACGTGTTTATGGGTAAACAAATATAAACAGAAAATTCAACATGTATTGTTTAGGTGAACTTATTTAATGCATAGACGAGGCTTTAAAATTTCATTTGCTATTAAATTCGAATTTCATATTCAATATTCTGAATTGAAACCTCAGTTATTTTGAGTTGCATATGTTCTTTTATGATTTGCTATTTTACCTCCAAGAGATTGAGCATTAAGTTCTTTGGAGGTACAGTTGGGTTTCTAGAAAGAAAATATTCATTGAAAATGGATGTCTTAATACATACTACTCTCTTAAAAATAGTAATATCTATTTCTTTTCTGATTTAAAATTGTGTTGAATTAAAAATCAAATTAATTTTCATATGAACAAAATTAATTACAAGGAACTAATTATTATACAAGTATTAAAAATTTATAGAACTTATTCAGTAGCGTTTGTTGATAACTTCTGAAAATAGTTTATGACACTTGGTAAGTTCTTTTTAACTTTTTAATATAATTTATCGAAATAATTTATAGTCAACTTATTATAATAATTTTAATCATTAAATTAATTTACAGTATAAATCATCATTTAAAAATAACTTATTGAATAAATTGTGTATCTAATACACTTTTATTCAATTTATAAAACCTTTTGTTTAATTTTAAATCCATCAAAATCAATGTTAACTAGTGCCCCTTAAAATACTGTTTAATAAATTGAAAATGTTTTTTATTTAAAATATAATAAATTCACATTTGTATAATTTTTAATATGATTTAATACAATTTTCAATAAAAATTTTCTACTTCTAATTTCTTATTGAGCGCCCAAGACCCTAACTTTAATTCATCTAAGTTTCTTAAGTAAATGTAGTGAGCACAAAAATACCAAAAGAAATTAGCATTTATTCCAGGTAGAAAACAACAAACAGCCCATATATACAAGGATTGAGTTATATTGAGGATCTAACTAATGGATTAATAAAGTGATCAAAAGTCTTGGGCTAGTGATGATGGGTTTAAGTTAATGAATTCGGGCCATGAATTGGGTCAATAGGTTAAGGGTATGTATGTATGTTTAGTTTAACTAGTCTTGGGTCAAAAGGAAATGGTATTCAAAATTTAAAAAGTGACAGAATAGGGAAAAAAAAAAGGGTGACTAAAATAAAACTAATAAAATAAGAATAAGTTAATAGAGTCAAATCCTCGCCATGTATTAATAGAGTCTCTGGTTACCCATTGCAAACATGACATGCACGTTGTATTTAAACTATATATAAAAAAATCCCATATATAAAAAAAATACATAAACTTGTAAATTAATTTTGTATTTAAACTATCAACACGTTGGTGCAGTAGCACTAGCCCAACTTCAATATTAGTTATTGTTAAACTTTTTATACTATATCTAAATTTGTACTAATTTATTTAATAATTATGATGGTAAATATTATAGTTTAATTTTCATGCATTGTTAATGTAAAATTATTTACATTTTCAATTAATTAAAATATAATATTTATATTAATTATTACAAAAATTAATTATTATTGTTGATATGATAATTTATTAGTGAAAATGGAATTTTTTTTAGTATTCAAATTAAATTTTAAATAGTACATGTTAAATTAATTGATATATGTATGATGTGCACCTAAATTGTCAAGTATTCACCTAAATATACATGCCTTTAATTTTTTATTTTTTTTTAAAAGATTATTATGAAAATTTTTGGTTTTTAAAAATTTTATTGTTAGCAATTTTTGTAAAATTGTTATTGACAATTTTGATAGTTTATAATTGTTTTATTTTTGAATATTTATATCTGTATCAAAGATTTTCATTTACAATTTTTGAATTCTATATTTTTGTTATAAATATGTCAAAAACAGTTAACTTAATGATTTCACTTGCTTTACTCTCATTTTAAATACACACTGAGTTGGTTGATGGGATCTAAAATCTCAATCCATCCCACTAAATGAATTATTTTGAAACAAAACCGATTTTACAATTCCTAGTTGGCCTTTTGATATTTTATGATAGATTATGATCATTTTCAAACATATATGAGACATTAAAATAGTTTCAAAGATTAAAGTTAACTTTTTTGGTCCTATTTAAATATATTCATTTAGCCTTTAAAAAATATTGATTTATGATTTAAATTCACATAAAATAGTTTCAAAGATTTAAGTTATATTTATTTAAAATTTTTTATATAACTAAAAAATGACATATTATTTAACCATTAATTTCTAATTTTTTCTTTGTTTATACTTCTATTTTTCTGTCTATTTTAAAAACAACTACGAATTAAAAAATAAATTATTCTATAAGTTAAAAAATGACACATCTTTATTTATATTATTTTCACCATTTTTACATTTTTATACTATAAAAATATCAATAATGTGGTATTTTAATATTAACTCTCCCTCCCCTTTTTCTACACTACACACTTTCCTTATAAAATGAGGCTACGCTTGATTTGCTCATTTTTTATTTTCATTTTTAATAAAAGTAAAAAATAGAAAGAAAATATGTTTATTGAGTTTTAGAAAATATTTTTCTCAAAAATGTTTTCAAAATTTAACTCATTTATAATTTTTTTAAACTTTTCTTTTACAAATGAGAATACTTAAAAACAAAAATAATAAAAATATAGTTGCATTGTTGTAAATATTATTTAATTTTAATTAAATCATGCTATATTTACTGATCAATGTTTCGCTTTACAATTTGTTTTTCTCTTTTAATTGTGTGTTTTTTTAATTTATTTTTCATAAATAATTCTTTCCTTTTTTTATCTTATTTCTTTTTTATATTTTTGTCTTTCTCTTTTTCTTCTTTCTTCATTTTCTTCCATAATTTTTTTATGTTTTGTTGGAACATAATAACAAAGTTTCTAACTTTTACTGAAAATCTGAAAATGTGTATTTTTGTCTCTATTCTTCATTCAATTGTTGTATAATTTCTATCATTAAAATTTTGATGAACATTATTATTTTTAATATCTTTAGTTATGATTTTTTCAATTTTTATATAGTTTTGATGTTATTTTTTTTCCATTAAACCAAGGATTATAATATATCTTATACGTTAAAATAAAAACCTAAAAAATTGACTTTTATTATTTTCTTAATATTTTTTTTTATTGTGTTACGTTAATATGTATAAGATATAAAATGTTATGTACTACATCATTCATTTTTTACTTCTCATATGTAATTAATATGTAATTTTTTTATTTTTAAAATATTAAAAAAATATTTTATTTATATATTATACTATTTTTTTAATTTTTATATATTTTTTATAAATTAATAAATAATTTTTAAAAAATTCATATATACTATTTTTATTTTTTTATTACACTTATAGTTTTTATTTAATTTTTTTTATATATTTATATTTGAAACATAAGAGTACATATACATATTAATAGAATATTTATAATTAAATAAGATAAAATTGAAAAAAGTATATACTTTTTAATTTTTTAAAATTTATTTTATTACAATTAATAAATATATATAAGATTAATAAATTTATATTAAAAAAAGCTTATATAGCACACAAATTATAAATTATAGTTATATTTATATTATTTTTAAGTCTTAGAATGATATAATAATATATTTATAATTATTAAATGAATAATAAAATAAAATTAACATCAGTAAGAATATATATATTGTAAAATTTTTATCATGAAAATTATTTATTAATAAAATATTAATGATTAATTTTAAAATTTATACAAAAATAAATAAATTTATTATAAAAATAGTTAAACCAAACATATTTTTAATACTTCATGTTTTTGAAAATAGAAAATAAAAGTAAAAGCAAATAGATTTTCTAAATCTTAAATATTTAAAAATAAAAACTATTTCTAAAAAATAAAAATAGGAAAACTACCTTTAGGTTTTTGTTTTGTGGATACCTAATTGTAGGCCCACCCAAACGAGTTGTCCTTTTGGTAAACTTTAGGAGGGCCACGCGAAATTGCAGTCTTGCAGATGACTCACTTAACCCTAAACAGCGTCAATTTTGGTTTCTGTTTAACATAGTTTTACAAATCCAGTTAGATGGAAGCGATGTTTTTATTTTTCACGTCATAAAAACTCTGTTTCAACACTGGAGATGCTAATCCAATCAGGCCCTTAATGCATTTTTAACCACCAAATTCATCAATGTTGCTTCTCTCATTGTTTAATAATTATCCAGAGTTTGCTTTTTTAAAAATATATAACAGACTAATCTCTTCAAAATTTTAAGAAAAATATAAGTTGAACTCTTGTCACATGATAAAATATTATTTTGTTATTAAATATGTAATAAAATAAATTAATATAATTAAAAATATTGTTTTAACCATGGTTAAGATGCCCAACCTCAATGAAAATGCGATCTATGGCAATGGTTGATGCAAAGAGGGAAGGAAATTCGTTAATGCCATTTTTTAATGAACTGGGCATGTGAATGCTCTGTGGAAGTGGTAGAAAACGTCACAAATGAAGCTGGCAATTCAATTTCTATTATCTTATTAATTTCAAATGTTATTCTATCGAGGCCAACAATATATCCTATTCAGAGAGCATCTGAGAAAAGGTTAAAACCACAAAACGCGACATAAAAAAAATAGTAATTTGAGTAGCTAGCATCCAATAAATCACCGAAATATCACTCATTCTGTGTGCAACTGGTGGATCCTAGTATCAGTCTGATAGTACACAATGTCTCCAGTGTCACTTACGAAGTGGTCTTGTCTCATACTTTGTACTAAGTGCTTTATTAGATGAAATGGAATTCCCGCTGCTTTTTCTGGCTCACGGTAATACTCTCCAAGAACTGGTTTTGCTGCTCGTGTCTGCAGTGAGTTCAAAAGAGGGTTAATTTATTGTTTATCTCAATCCCTTTTTAATGCTATTTTTATTCTGCATTTTTTAATAATAATCAAATAATACCCATTTTGTTTAAGTTATTTTTTGATGAAATAATTGTATCAAAATTTCTTACAAATAAACTCTTTCTAATCTGCTTAAAATAGAGTTATTTAGTCCACAGAATAACTTGAACAAATCCATGTATATTTATTGTATTTTGAGGAGAAAAATAAGAAGTACCGCTTCAACTAGGTGGTAATGAGGAATTTGAGGGAAGAGATGATGGATAACATGGGTGCCAATATCATGGTGAATGTTATTAATCCATCCATAATCACGATCAACAGTGGTGAGGCCACCTCGTAAATAACTCCATTCCTGTCCAGTGCAGTGCATCAGAAACAATGGTCATAGGTGGTGGACCAAGAAAAACAACACGTGTGTTACAACACACAAGGCAAAGACACATATTTTGTTGCATATAACATTATAGAACCTTGACCCACAAAATTTAATTCCATTTACTAAAACAAAAATATTTAAGCTCCAGTAGCTTTTCTATTCCAGTTACTGCCTGTAATAATAAGAGTATAAGACACTCTAGAATTGAAATGACAGAACAGAACCAACTTGTTTTGTTACCTTCCCGCGGTACCAAGGCAGTTTCTGGTGGTAACCATGGTGATGCAAATATGTGACAAAGTCCAACCACATGACAAAAATCTGCACATGTTCAAACAAGTATATAAATAATGGACATGTATTAACTATTTCAACTGTACAAAATTAAAATAAGCAAATGCTACTACTGCCTTAACATGTATCTTAACATAATTTTTAATATAAATAAATTATTCTTTTAAAACAAATATTTTAAAAATATTGATCTGTACGATTCTTTAAAATTAAAGGGTCTTGATGAAGAAATCAAAGGCAAGACTTTTTTTTTTGTGGCCAAAATACTAATTTTTTTTAAAAAAATTAACCGGTACCTTTTAAGCACTTGTTAGCATTCATCAGAAAAAAAAGAAAAAAAAGAAGTGTCAATGTAAAAGTGATTTTACCCAGTATGGAATTCCATATAGTTTGAGAATTAGAAATGGACTTGTTATGAAGGAGAGATAGAGAAGCACAGAAAACATGATAACCCAACAGAGTGTTGATATTGCGACATCTTTTCTCTCACAGGGTGAGAACAGGTTGCTGAAGGGATTGAAGTGAGAGCCATCCTTTCCGGGGCTTCTTTCCCACTGAAATAGAGCTCAAATCAGAAAGAAAACTCATAATTTTTAACTATACTATAATAATAATAATGTTGTCTCATCAGTAAAAAATTGCTCACCAAATAAAATGGATACGCAAACAATGGAAAAGGCACAGTGAATCTCGCGAATCTTGTCATGCTGTCTATATTCTTGTAAATCTTCTCTGTCAACTAAGATAAATGACACACAAAAGAAAAGGACCCCAAATCAAGAACTACTTCATGAAGCACACATTTTTATTCCCCTTTTTGGGCCTACCAAATATATCTAACAATTGAATAAAAAACAATGATAGAAGCAATCACATACTGGAACCCATGACTCATCCTTCTCAACATGTCCATGATTTTGATGGTGAGTTTTGTGGCTGATTCTCCTGCATAAAACACATTAAAGATTTGATCAAGAAAAGAACTTGGACTGAAAAATAAACAAGAAAAAGAGAAGCTAAGAACCAACCATCCATGGTATGGCACAAGAATTGAGGAATGCAAGACATGTCCCACCAAGCTATTCAGCAAAGGACTGTTTGAAAAGCTTCCATGTCCACTGTTCAATGCAGAATGTACAATACAAGTTTACCATGTAACATAAATATAGAAAAACTAAGTGATTTGTCTAAAGCCAATGAGTGAGACACATAACAAAATTAAGTACCATTACCAATCATGTCCAAGAACAAAGAGAGCCCAGAACATTGTGCCTTGAATAGGCCAATAGAGGAGCCAGAAAAACCAGTTATTGAATTGAATTGCTGCTGCCATCAATGCAGTAATTACCAAGACATCCCTAAGAACATAACTGAGGGATCTCCATGGGTCCTTGACCCAGCAATGTTTTGGTATGGAAGCTCTTATTTCTGCAATCTTGAATGGTGGAGGAGCACTTGGATCAAAATCTTTTTGGTGTCCATTAGCAGCATATGATAAAGGCTTTGTGTCATTAGCCATTGTTGCTTGTGGTAGAGAAGCGTAATTGCTATGTAGAAAGGCTAGAAGAAGAAATCTTTGAAATTTCTCGCACTGGGTCATGTATATACATAACAGCAGAACGCAACAGTATAATAATAACTGCACAACATTCTAGTTTTACCTCTATTGAGTTTTTTCCTCTTACGTTGGAAAATTTTATTTTTTATTGTTTCTTAAAAATTATTAATTAAATGGTATCTTGATGTATGTTAGAGTATTCTTCTTGTGATAGGTGGATTGTAAATATTACGTGTAAAATATACTTAAATAGGGTGGTTTAAAGTTATATTATGAAGATTTTTAACCTTTCGTGGAATTGTAAGTCTCTTTCTCTATAAGTGTGTGTCATGAAATTACATAACTTTTAGTTAATTACACAATTTCTATCAAATGTGAGAATGAAGGAGAGAAAAATTCTATTTCTATTATGTATGTGTATATTTATCAAAGATTATGAAGAGATGTGCACTATACTCCTTTAGAGTTAATAATAACAATAAATTTATTATACTTTTATATTTTTATTATAATAATTTTTTATTTTAATTAAATTTTAATTTTTTTAAATATTTAAACTCAATTTTAAAAATTTTAATTAACCAAACATTTTTAAGAGTCTCTCTAGCCTATGTCCTAATTAGTTAAGAAATCAATAAATAATAATTTTTAATAAAAAATTATAAAATGAATTAAAAATAAAAATTACATTTTTATATATTTCAACAAAATATTTTTTTAATCTTTTAATTAGAATTTAAATTCTTTTAATATAATAATATTCTAATTAATGCAACTACAATTCTTCTTATATTATTTATGATTTCTAAATATGAAACATCATGATGTCTACATTTTTAACCCCTTATTTATGATGGTTTCCTAACATTAAAAACTACATGTTGTAGGGCAAACAAAGAAGGATAATTGTGGAAACTGAAGAAACATGCCAGCAATTGTTTCATTGGTTGTGAATTGCAACAGTGAGTTTAAAATCGAAATCTCCAATTTAATTACTCAATTTTGATTGTAGGTGTAAGTGAAATAGAAGCCTTTACTTGTTTTAACTTTATACACTGTCAAATGTTTTATTAAGTTCAATCTGAATTATTCCTTCCGTACTTTAGGAGACATTGAATTGTGTCGAGAAGCTTTATTTTTACGTAAAATGTCAAAACATATTCCGTTGTTAAGAAAAGCATGTAACCAAATTTCTAATATTAAAACAAAATTATGTGAGACAAATTGTAACTCCTGAATCCTGATACTACCCTTCGAAGTTGTTTCTCCTCATAAATATTTGTTGTAAACTTTGTATACTCACCACTTGTTTGATACAATTTTTCCATTTTTCATACAATATTTTTAATCAAGGGTTAAGTAGATTCCCCTGCTAACACTGAATTTAAATAATACCCACTTGAAAGTGTTATTGCAGCTATTCCTCTTGCGCCGCAATTTCAACCATTAATTAGGGTTACTTCCGATGACAATTAGACAATAGCCTATACTCTTTACTCTTTCTTCTTGAATGATTATAAAATATCGAAATTTATTTTATCTTCTTATCAATTTTTAATTACTTTTCTATTATTATATAAAATATATATTTATTATCTTAAAAATATAAAAATCATTTCATATTTTCTTTATTCAATAAATAAAATTTAGTGAACATAAAAGATAGAAAATTTAGAATTACTTTAAATCAACGGAGAAGCATAAAAAAGAAAAATAAAGTAAAAACCGAAACCACGCAAAGAGATGAGAGCTGACTGGATGGGAGGGACGAGGGGTAAAAGTGATTAGTGAATATTTTTAGATTGTGATTGTGTAAAATCAATATTAACTTATTTTCACATTCCACCCTTTTATTTAATGTTATTTATAAATTATATATGGTAGCTTAGGATGAATTAATCTTATTCATAATTTTTATTTTTTATAATTTTTAAATATATCAAAGTAATTTAAATTTTTAAATAAATTTTGTAATTAACTTCATACTATGATTTTTATGCAATAATATAGTTTTATTAAATAAATACTTAATTAAATTATTTACATAAATTACTTAGGAGTTTTCTCATTCTCCTTCGAAGAATCCATATTTGATGTCTGCAAATAGGGGTTATTTATGAATTTCTTTTTCTTTGTGATTTTAAATTGTCGTACAAGAATTAAGAAACCTAAGCATGATTTTAATTTTATATAGATTATTAACTAATTTTCATCAGGTCACGTTAATTAATGCTCTTGATTTTAATTAAAAAATAAAATAATAATTGATTATTACAAATCATTTTTAAATTGTACTGCAAATAGTGGAAGAGTGTACTATAACTTTTTTTAATAATTTTTTCATTTTTAATTCCTTTTCATTTGAATTTATATTTTATTTATTATCTCTTATATTAATTTTTCCAAAATACAGATTAATCAATTATTAGAACTGAAATTAAAATTTTTATTATTTATAGGTATTATAAAATGACAATTAAAATAAAATAAAATAAATCGCTAATACATCAAGCAAAAATGAATGAAATGTTTAAATTTCATTAAACTAAGTTTATTTGTTTAGATAAACATGTTTATTCTAAATTATTATATAAATTATTCATATTCAGGTTTTATAAAATTAATATCTTATGCTTGACAAAAATAATTTAAATTTAAAAGCTGATAATGAATTAAAAATAAAACAACTATCTCCGCGTGGGTTAACGGAATTCACGTTAAACCACAATTATTTTCAACTGGGTTGACAAAGCTTACTTAATTCACGTGTTTGGGGATAATATAATACATTATTAAAATAGTTATTTTAAAAAAAAAGTAGAGATATAAATTTTAAAATATCAAACGTAATAACCAATATATAATCTAATTATAATAATCTTATATTACTTTGACTAATAATCAAAATTAAATTCTAAGTTATTACTGAATACGTGTATAACTAATAAAAAGTTATTTTAATTTAATTATCTTAAACTCACTTTATTATTTATCGCCTGTTCGTATAAAAGAAATCAAATCGCAAGTTTGAAACGTCATTTGATGAGATGAATTTCCGCATGTTGCACGTTGTTCTGTCAAAGAGTTGTACCCTCCTTTGTCACATCACTTGTTTTGTCACTTTTTAATTCTAAGGTAATTCTATTAAGAAAAGTTAATTTTAAGATAAATGTTAACTAAGCAACTTGTCAGGAAAATAAAATATTTAGGATATTTGTTGTCTATAATAAGAAAATAAAAAATTAATTAATATTTTAAATTATTTATATTTAAAACTTTAATTTAAATTAATAATCATTAGTGTCTCATTTTTTATTTTACACGTTTTATCACTTCACAGAAATTAAATTTAAATATTTATTTAAAAATAAAATATTTATCATTTTAAAATTTAAAAGTTATTAAATAATTTTTAAATTATTATAAATATTTAATATGATGTATTAAATACTTCTTATGTAATATATCTTTAAGAAACCAATGAAGGTTTAACTTTTCTTATTTAATGGTAAAATAATAATAGTAATAGCGTGAACTGTTAAAGAAATTTTTTTGAATTTCAATGACTTATTTTTCTAAAATAATTTAAATAATGCATTTGATTTAAGTTATTTTCGTGTCTCATTTTCAATTTTAATTAAAATTAATTTAGAAAAATAGAATGATTTATTATAACTTCTAACTAAATTAAAAATAAAAACAAGAAAATTAAAATTTAGAAAAATTTATTCATTCAAATGTTTGTTTTGACATTTATTTAATCTACAAGAGTTAACTTATCCAATTTAAATTAAATAAAAAATATAAAATATAATGTTACTTTTCAAACCAAACCAGAACTTTTTCTTTTTATTGAACTAAATGACTTTTTCCTATTCAATCTATGAATATTGTAGAAAAGGATCAACACAGTTTTTTTTTTTTTTTTACCAATTTTTGTAAAATTATTTATCATAAAATATATATAAAATATTTATTTATCTAAAATAATTTTTCTCACGTAATCATTAAATATAGCTCATGTTAAAAGTATCTTATTTAAAAAATTATAAAATACAAGTATCATAAGTCTAATTTAAACAAATTTTTAAAATATTTTTATAAAAAAATATTATAAAATATAAATAATTTTTTTTAAATTTAAAATAATTTTTTATTAAACATCAATATTTTATTTAGAATAAATTTAAGGTTAAAAGATTTTCATTCTCAAAAAAAATAAAAAAAATAATTACAAATATTTAATTAATTTTCTTCAACTCTTCTCGTTGTGGCAATAACTATAATGAAAAAAAATAAAATATTAATGTATATGAAAAAAATGATTATCTCTAACCTACTAAAACTCTAAATCAAAAAATACTTATTATTAGTGCTACAAAAGATATATTTTTAAATCTCACATTTCAAATCTTTTTTTTAAATATATTGTTAAGATATTATTAATTTAATTCATATATAATTAATATTTACATAGATTAAACTACTTTGAAGAACGATATTTAATAAATTTAAAATAATTTTTTTTAAATTTAAAAAAATTTAAAAGTACAAACATAAATTATTTCTAACTCATAATTTATAAAAAATTATCTAAAAATATACAATATCAACCATTATTTCTAATATTGCTCATATCAAATTTTACTTTTGAAAAATCAAAATTCTAATTTCCTACATTTGAGTAGCGACTTTTACTTAAGTTTTCAACTTAACATATAATATGATATTTTTTTTATTCTTTTATAAAAAATAAAATAGAATATTTTTTTAGTTTTTATTATTAAAAAAATGATAAATTTAAGATACATTAATTATTAATTTTTTTATTAGTATCATTAAATATATAAATTACTAATTATATTATTTAATATTATGAATATTTTTAGAATAAAATTTTTATTTATAGAAAATATAATATACTTAATTATTTTTTTGACCTTAATAATTTTATCTTTTGATTCTTATAAAGAAGCTCGGAAGGATTAAGTGTTATTAGATTTTAATTTAACAAAAAGTCCTAACGTGAGATTAATAACGTGCAAGATATTATTGTCACTAGTCAAGTTGCAACGCTTTTAACCATTGTTATATCCAACCTCATGTACCGCTGGTGCACTCTATTCTTTTGTGAGCCTTACCCTACCTTATCAAATCTCAATCCTTATCTTCACATGGCCAAACCCAAAGTGGATAAGGCCACTTCAAAACCTTGGAAAAAAAAGAAAGAAAGAACACAATGGAGAAGAACCTTGTTATTCTACCCTGTAAATCAAGGCTTCCTCTAGTAGTCCCTTCTTACAATGCCACTCAAATTGAGTGGCATGGCTCAACAAGGGTCCATGCAAATTCCAGAAACATCTCTATGACCAAAAGGTTACACCCAAAATTGATGGATACCCACTTGAACCAGTTATGTGTTAATGGTCCCTTGAGTGAAGCTGTGGCAATTCTTGACACTTTGGCTCAACAAGGGTCCAAGGTGAGACCCATTACATACATGAACCTGCTACAAGCTTGCATTGACAGAGAGTTAATTTGGGTGGGTAGGGAATTGCATGCTAGGATTGAATTGGTGGGAAAGGTGAACCCTTTTGTGGAGACCAAGTTGGTCAGCATGTACGCAAAATGTGGACATTTGAAGGAGGCACGCAAAGTGTTTGATGAAATGCGTGAGAGGAATTTGTTCACGTGGTCTGCTATGATTGGTGCTTGCTCTAGAGAGCAGAAGTGGGAGGAAGTTGTGGACCTCTTTTATGATATGATGCAACATGGGGTTTTACCTGATGAGTTTTTGCTTCCAAAGATTGTGAAAGCCTGTGGAAAGTGCAGGGATTTTGAAACTGGGAGGGTGATCCATTCGTTTGTAATTCGAACTGGAATGAGCTCTTCTGCGCGTGTAATCAATTCAATTATGGCAGTGTATGCCAAGTGTGAGGAGATGAATTGTGTGAAGAAGGTCTTTAGCAGAATGGATGAGAGGAACTGTATTTCATGGAATGTAATAATAACTGGGTATTGCCAGAAGGGTGAGATTGAGCAGGCCCAGAAGTATTTTGATGCAATGCAGGAAGAAGGAATTGAACCTGAATTGGTAACTTGGAACATTATGGTTGCCAGTTATAATCAGTTAGGGCATTGTGATATTGCAATGGATTTAATGAGGAAGATGAAGAGTTTTGGCATTACCCCAGATGTATATACTTGGACTTCTATGATTTCTGGGTTTGCTCAAAAGGGAAGAATAAATGATGCCTTCAATCTGTTGAGGGAGATGTTTTTAGCAGGGGTTGAGCCCAATAGTGTTACAATTGCAAGTGCAGCCTCAGCATGTGCATGTATAAAATCACTAAGCATGGGATCAGAAATTCATTCTATTGCTGTTAAGACAGGTTTGGTCAACAATATTCTAGTTGGTAATTCATTGGTTGACGTGTATTCCAAGTGTGGCAATCTGAAAGCTGCTCAACGCATTTTCGATATGATGTTAGAAAGAGATGTATATTCTTGGAACTCAATTATTGGAGGGTATTGCCAAGCTGGTTTCTGTGGCAAAGCCTATGAATTATTTATGAAAATGCAGGAGTCTGATTCACCACCTAATGTTGTTACCTGGAATGTAATGATCACAGGATTTATGCATAATGGTGCTGAGGATCAGGCGTTGGATCTTTTTCAAAGGATTGAGAAAGATGGGAAAATTAAGCCAAATGTAGCATCATGGAATTCATTAATTTCTGGTTTCCTGCAAAATGGACAAAAGGACGTGGCCTTGCAGATATTTCGGTGGATGCAGTTTTTCAACATAGCTCCCAACTTAGTTACAGTGCTGACTATCCTTCCTGTCTGTGCAAACTTAGTGGCCGGAAAGAAAGTTAAAGAAATCCATTGTTGTGCAGTGCGTAGAAATTTATTGTCTGAGCTTTCTGTATCAAATATATTCATTGACAGTTATGCTAAGTCTGGAAATATAATGTATTCCAGAAAAATTTTTGATGGATTGTTCTCAAAAGATATCATCAGTTGGAACTCTTTGCTTTCAGGTTATGTTTTACATGGCTGTTCAGAGGCTGCACTTGATCTTTTTTATCAGATGAGGAAGGAAGGACTAAAACCAAATAGATTTACTTTTGCAAATATTATCTCAGCTTATGGTCATGCTGGAATGGTGGATGAGGGGAAGCATGCTTTTTCCAACATCAGCAAAGAATATCAGATTAACCCAGATCTGGAACATTATTCTGCCATGGTCTATTTGCTTGGTCGTTCAGGCAAGCTTGCTGAAGCACTGGAGTTTATTCAATACATGCCCATTGAGCCTAATTTCTCTGTATGGAATGCCTTGCTAACCGCGTGCAGAATTCATAGGAATTTTGGATTGGCAATCCTTGCAGGAGAACGTCTTCTTGAGTTGGAACCTCAAAACAACATGACTCAGCATTTACTTTCACAGGCATATTCTTTGTGTCGGAAGTCTTGGGAAGCTCCAAAAATGACAAAGCTCGAGAAAGAAAATGCTGTTAAGATACCTGTTGGGCAAAGCTGGATTGAAAGGAAAAACATGGTTCATACATTTGTTGTTGGTGATCAGTCAAAACCATATTTGGACAAGCTACATTCTTGGCTAAAACGGGTAGCTGTAAATGTCAAGGAACATATTTCTGACCATGGAGTTTGCATTGAGGAAGAGAAGGAAAATATTAGTAGTGTACATAGTGAAAAACTTGCATTATCTTTTGCTTTAATAGATTCTCATCAGGCTCCTCAAATTTTACGGATTGTAAAGAATTTGAGAATGTGTAGAGATTGCCATGACATAGCCAAATACATATCGTTGGCATATGGGTGTGAAATATATTTAAGTGATTCAAATTGCTTACACCATTTTAAAGGTGGTCACTGTTCTTGTAGGGATTATTGGTAGACCAAAACAATGTGAAAGAGAATCAATGAATTCAGAAATATGTAAATCTGTTATATTGTTTTAATTGTTCTTCTTGTAAATAAATCTTTTGATTACATCTACATGAATAAAATAAAGGGACAAGATCAATTGACACCAGTGTCATTTTGTATGCTTACACCAAACTTATCCCTCTATTCTAGTTTAATCTAGAGGATGAGATTTTACCAGCATTTTTCTTTTCCCTTTTCTTGCCTACACAGAGCATAGCTATTATTCAATGTTTTCCTTTATAGAAAACTCTCTGGTGGTCTCATTTTTCAAATTATCTTTTATAATTTTTGGTTTAGGATTAGTATATTCCAGCAATGATAATTTCTAAATTAAATATCGATTCAAATTACATTTGAGATAAACCATAATTAGCAAAGATGATTGGAAAAACTAAAAGTTTTCCGATGCAATAACGAAAACTGCACCTTGGCTTAAGGAGAAACTTTTCACATTATGAAACAAGGTTAAACTATACAGAATTTCATTCGTTTACCATGCAAGAATTTTGCAATACTTTCCATATGAAAGATTTGAATGTGAATCCTGTTGATAATTTCCAACGAGAAGATATAAATAAATTAGAACATCAATCATTGTAGTCATTTCATGGTCATCTATAAGCAGCAAATTGTCATGCAAATATGCTTTATAAATTAATCATTGGATACCTAGTCCAACAAAACTCAACTTTGGAAAATATAGGTAGAATAAAAACTGTCGCATGAGTAAGCATCCACAAAAGCGTATTAAATTCTTCCCTTAATTAGTTTATAGGAAGCACCTTATGAGTAAGCTTGGTGTAAAATTCTAAGACAAAGACCATAACTTAAAAAAGGTTAAACCACAAAGTAAGGTGCAGAATATGCAATGATCATTATAAACCAATTATTCACAAAGAAAACTCTACGACTAATGGCACCAGACCATCAGTGCCTGCGGAAGCAACTGAGTCTAAGTGCTTCTGACTAAATTCCCAAAGATAAATTTAGCAGAAAATGATATATTCCTTTCTTTTCTCTAATAATTTTATTCTAAAAATGGGAAATAATAATATGATTATGGGAAGAAAATGATTGTTCCTAGACCATAAAAAGTGCATGAAACTTTCTCTGAATGAAAACAAGGGACTGATTTCAATAGGGAATCTGATTCCCTGCCTTTCAATCCTTTCCCTCCATGGTGGAACCCGAATTAGCTTTGTCTACATAGTTCCTCGTATATATTATTTTCTATACAGGGTTCCCTGCCACAAACCCACCCTCGGCAGCATAAATACCTCTAATGCCTTACCTTTGTTGCACCCACATTAACACTTTCACTAGAATTCTTCTCAGTTCAAAGTCTCTCATTCTTATCCCCCAAGTAGAAGAAAATGGTAGTACACTGCATACAAACTGCTCATGTTATATAGCACTTTATGTTCAACAACTTTATATGATTTTACCATCTTTTTTAACACCTTGGCATGATGCTTAAGCCGCAGAGTCTTGAGGATCCTATGAAGAAACCCGCGTTGGTTGGACCATGGGGAGGCAATGGAGGGTCTAGTTGGGATGATGGGATATATTCAGGAGTAAGGCAATTGGTGATAGTTCATGCTGCAGGAATTGACTCCATCCAGATTGAATATGATAAGAAAGGAAACTCTATCTGGTCAGAGAAGCATGGTGGAAAAGGAGGCAATAAAACTGACAAGGTAAAGGTTCAATGCCCTTAGAGATCTTGTGTCATTAATTTGCAATATTGACCCTCAAGCACATCTTAAGGTTCATGAAGTTGGTATAAATTAAACTTTGTGCATATAATAACTAACTAACTACTTATGAGACTGTTTCAGGTGAAGCTTGATTATCCAGATGAGTTCCTAACTTCAATTCATGGATACTATGGAAGCTTAAATCAATGGGGGCCAAACTTGGTTCGGTCACTGAGTTTTGTGACTAACAAGAAAACTTATGGTCCATTTGGTGTTGAACAAGGGACACATTTTTCGGTCCCAATGACTGAGGGCAAGATTGTTGGGTTCCATGGCAGGTGTGGTTGGTACATAGATGCCATTGGAGTCTATCTAAAGTCCTTGAAACAACCAAATCCATCCAAAACTGTGGCTCATTCCCAGAGCCACATTACTAACACTACTGAGAATTTTGGTTATTCTGTAATACAAGGAAGTGTGAACCAAAACTATGATATTGTTCTGGCTGTTAGACAAAAGGATGATTTCAGTAAGCCTTTAGCAAACAATGTCTCTGGGAAGATTTCTGTTGTCAAAGAATCCACCAACATTGAACACAAAGAAAAGGTAAGAATGAATTGATGATCTCTTTCTCATTGAAATATTCCTTAATTTTCTTCTCTAACTCTAAATATCTGGTTTTGCACCAAATGAATCCTTTCAGATAGCTCCGGTGGAAAAGGCACCCGCAAAGGTTGGAGGTGCAGTCACATATGGGCCTTGGGGTGGCGTTGGTGGATATGCATTTGATGATAGAACCTATACAGGAATCAGGCAAATTAACTTGTCACGCAATGTTGGAATTGTATGGATTAGAGTTTTGTATGATTATGATGGGGAGGCCATATGGGGATCCAAACAAGGTGGAACAGGAGGATTTAAAAATGATAAGGTGAACAATGAGCACGCAAGCAAATTTAGCTTACTCTATTTAATACACTAAGACAATCAGATTATGACAATTTTAGTAATCATTATGTATCATTTGCAGATAGTCTTTGATTTCCCATATGAAGTCCTGACACATATATCTGGCTACTATGGACCTTTGATGTATATGGGACCTGCTGTTATAAGGTCACTAACTTTCCACACCACTAAAAGGAAGTATGGACCATATGGAGATGAACAAGGAACATATTTTACCACAAAAGTAAAAGAAGGTAAAATTGTCGGCATTCATGGGAGAAAAGGTTTGTTCCTAGATGCTTTTGGAGTACATGTGGTAGAAGGAAAAGTAATAGTGCCTGTGGCAACACCTCCCAAGGAAATCATCCCTAGAGAAACAAGTATTGGTGACATAGGAAGTGCTCAATTCCCTACAAAACTAGTACTTGCTAAGCCATCAGCAGCTGAAGAGGTATTCATTTTTCATAATAAACTCTTAGAAGATGTTGAAGTTTCAAAGTAGAACTTTTAAAATATTAAAGCAATCCTCATCTTATTATGGACTAGTTTTTGAGTTGATTTAAGCACAAAGTCCAAATTTTAAGAGAAGGCATTGAATAAATTTAAGAATTTGTTTATCTCTTCGCATGGTTATCCTATTCACTTTGCTAACTTTTGCTAGGTTTCTTGTGGTGTGATCAAAGAACCAGCTCCATGTGGACCAGGGCCATGGGGTGGTGATGGAGGTAGACCCTGGGATGATGGAGTCTTTTCTGGGATTAAACAGATTTATTTGACAAAAGTAGCAGAAGGCATATGCTCTATTCAAATTGAGTATGATCGAAACAGGCAACCTGTGTGGTCTGTAAAACATGGTAGCAATGGAGGAGACACCATGCATAGGGTACTACTATTCTCAGTAACCCACTTTCGTTAAGCACATTTCGCTGTGTTCCTCACTTCCTTAAACCATTCTTTTCCAAACTGAACCAATTTTCAAATTGCTCAAAAGTCAGAAAATAATAATAAGAAGATGAAGTAGAAGAAGGATATATTTATAATCAAGTAATATGATAATATATTTAGCGAAACATATAACATTCATAAGTTTGCAAATATATTTTACACATAAATTTACTTAAATATATTTTAATGTTTTATAATATTAATTGCTTTTAGTTGTAGTTAAAATAATTTTTTTATTACCTTTGATAAAAGAAACCAATATATACTATAATATACATATTATAAACAAAGATTACATGTGCTATAGTTTTTAAAATTTGTCACCTCAGTCAGAAGACTTACATTCAAATTTGCTTCTAGCCAAAACAGAAATTTTTGTGAGAGATGACATTGAACCGGTTTCTTCTTCTTGGTATATTCCTAATTTTTTGTGCATTTGAAAACTAATTAAAATTAAGTTAAATTATATTTTAACGTGGAAGTTATAATCTATAGTATTAAAATAAATCTACATTTGAACAGATTTAAAACTTGCAAACAAATACTTACACGGACTAATTTGATCCAGTTTTAAAAATCAAGCTAAACACTTACCTTCTGAGAGGAGATCAGTGTCAATTGATTGCAACCAATACAAAATTTACTGACCATTCATAAACTTAATCAAACTTATTGTGATTCTAGATACAATTGGAGTATCCACATGAAGTTGTGACTCGTATATCTGGCTATTATGGGTCAATCACTAAGGATGAGGGGCACATTATCATAAAGTCATTGACTTTCAATACCAGTCGAGGCCAGTATGGTCCATTTGGTGAGGAAGTTGGGAAATTCTTCACCTCAACCACTACAGAGGGCAAGGTGGTTGGTTTCCATGGGAGGAGTAGCATGTATTTGGATGCCATTGGGGTCCATATGCAACATTGGCTAGGAAGTCACAAAACTTCAAGGTCCTCACTCTTCAAGCTGTTTTGATTTGTGTTTCAGATGATTTCTTGCATACACTTAATAATGATTTTGGTGGGGCGTTTTATGATAATTGCAATAGAAACTTGAATAATGGAATGTAAGTGTTAATTTCTTACACCTCGAGGTTTGGCTTAATTTAAGATATTTTCCGTTGTTATAGTTGCGCCAATCTCTTCTCCTATATGAAAATCGATTTTTTTTCTTCTTCCAAGTTATAAGTAATAATTAGCTTTTAACAAGTCATAACAATGCTCATTTAAAGCGTCGATTAATAATATGTATAATATTATTCAAAAAATTAATTTTAAAATAACAACAGCAACGATTTTACAGTAAATTAAATAAAATCTTAAATTTATTTTTGAAACATTCATTTAAATGAAAATATAAAAAATAATTAAAAAATTATACAAAATTTACTTAAATGATTTTTACAAAATCACATCTTTCACGTAAAGAGGGGCTAAGTGTGAAAGATGAAGGAGTAAGAGAGAGTTGGGTAAATGGAAGAAACAAGTGAAAGTAAGAGAAAAAATAAAAGTTGGACTGGCTAAAAGAGAGAAATTGGAGAGTAGAAAATTGGATTAGAGAGAAAGAGAGAAATTGAAGAAAAGGAGTAAAAAGAGTAAGGGGAGGGAGAGAGAGTTGTAGAAGAAAGATTTTTCTTTTGTAATACATAAATATTTTATTTAAAATAAAATAAAATAAATTTAATTTAATAATCAAAATTTAATTTTTAATGTGTGAGAGATAAAATTATTTTTTGAATAATTAAAAAATATTTTAACTTAATTTTATAATCACAAATAATATATTTAAAAATAATAAAAATACAATAAATTTAAAATATAATTATTTTTAAATAATATTTTTATCATACATTGTCAAATTTTTGAAAATAAATATCAATAATTAATATATATTAATAGTCAAATTTAGGAGATAAATTTATTATAAATAAAAAAACATTTACCTAAATGTAACAAAAAAATATATACACGAGCTTATTTTATTTTTAAAAAACTTTTAAAAATTACAAAATAAAATATTATAAATTAGTAATATATGGTACTTATCTCAAAATAAAAATAACATAAAAAATAAGTACGGATAAATCAAGTTAAAAATTTAAAACTTTTATAAGATTATAAATTTGAAACACTATAATATATTATAAAGATTTAAAATATAAAAATTGAAATTATTTTATGATTGTAAAATTAATAAAATATAATACTAATAAAGATGAGGTAAATTATCATTTGTATTTAGATAAAAATGTAATTTATATATAATATTGTGTTAAAATATAAGGTTTTAAAAATTTAATTCTAAAAAATTATAATTGACTTTGAAGAAGGAAAAATAGTTATAAGTTTTTTATTAAATGTAATTATATTTTTTAAAACATGGATCCACGCTTAAAAAAAACTACTTTTAACATTTTAACATTATTTGATTTTATCAATAAATAAAATTTATTCTCTAAACTTATTTATTTTTAAAATATTGTTCTTAAGTATAAATTTTTTAATATTATTAATTTTTAAATATTATCAAACCCTTTCATGAATGTGAGTAGGATAGAAAAACATTTTATAAAAAAAAGTAGGAAAAAAATAAAATATAAGATAAATGAATAGGAGAAAATTATAAAGTTATACTTTTAAGAATACGTATATCAATAGGAGATAATAATTATATTATTTTATTTTTTTATATCATATCTTTTTCCCAAAAATTATTTTATCAATTTTTAATACTATTTATTTTTTAAATTACTAAAATATTTATTATTTTGGAAATAAAAACCCAAAGTTGTTGACCGCACGCACTGCTATTTTTCTTTCCTGCATGTCAGATAATAATTACTCACCTTCGGAATGCCTTTGAGGGCATTGTCATATTGTTCACACCATTAATCTTACGAGTTTTTATTATAATACAATGATATTGTAAAATTTTTTACGGTAAGAAAAAATTATCGATTGTCACATAATTAAAATTATTGACTATTGTAATAATTATTGTAAAATTTAATTTAAAAATATTGTTGGTATAAATATATTTATATATTGAATAATAAAAAATAAAATAATAATTATAAAAATACTAATTTTTAATAATATAATAATTTACAATTAGATCAGAGTATAAAAAATATTTATATTTAAATTAAACTAACACTATTAATGCCTTGATTATGTGTCGAGCAATGGGGAATTCACATTTTTTTTTTCATTTATCTTTTCCCATTTGATAAACTGAACATGATTTTATAATTATTAAATAATTTCACAGTGGAATTGTGACAAAAAATTTAAAAAGGATATTAAAATACTCATGAATTGTTATTTTCTATGAAAGAGACTAAGAAAGTGAAAAAAGATTTTAAAAAAAATGGTAAATGCTTAATTGGTTAACTATTTTTATGGATTATGTTAAGAAAATTACGAACGAAGTTTATCCTATTGCAACGTTACACGGTTTAAAAGAAAATATCGTATCTATAAAAACCACAGGGAGTGAAGTAGTAAAGGACGCTGAAACAATTTGGTTGATTCATTCATTTGTTCCAGCCACAGCTATGGATCGTGCTCAGCTTCTTTTGCTTGCTTTGCCTCTCTTCCTCTTCTGTTCTGATATCATCTCCCTTTTCACTTCACCGCCGCCGCCGCCACCCCACCACCGCCATCACCACCCGCACCACCACCACCACCACCCCCACCCCCACCACCATCACCACCCCCACAAGCATCACGTTGACCCTGTAACCATAGAGTTTCCCTCCGAGGTAATTTCACTTCCATCATGCAAAATTGCAGATTCATCTTATCATTATTTCAATATATACTTAACGGGCTCTCTCTGTTATCTCAGAAACCCAACACCAATATTCCAACTGCTGGTCTTGGCAACACTGTCAACATCAATTTCTGCACTTCTTGCTCTTACAAGTACCTACTTTTCCTTACTTTCATGTTTTTATTAGTGTTATCATGCTGAATGTTGATGATGGTGGTAAAAGGGAATAATTTTTTAGCTTAACTATCCGATTTAGCTTGTGGGTATTAGGGGAATTGACCTCAAAAGTTTAGGAGTGATTTTAGTCTCTTGGCTTACGGATCAGACTTGCAAAAGATTTTCTGGGTTGTATTGTATGTCATGAATCATGCTTCGGAATTTGGATTATCAGTGGTTATTCAAGATCGTGGTCTTTTCTTATTGTGTTATGTTTCTTAAAGTTGGTTCATTGCTTGGGTGTTTACTCATGATTGTATGTTTAAGATGGGAAAATTGGTGTAAATGGATGGTTGTGTTGTTTGTAGGGGAACGGCATTGACAATGAAGAACATGTTGGAGATTGCTTTTCCTGGAACTGAGGTTATTCTTGCAAATTATCCCCCAGTGCTTCCGAAGCGTCTGCTGAGCAAATTGGTTCCAGTTGTTCAGATTGGTGTTATAGGGGTTGTTGTTGCAGGGGAACATATTTTTCCAATGTTGGGTTTTGTTGCACCTCCTCCTTGGTATTACAACTTGCGTGCTAATCGGTTTGGAACCATCGCTAGTGCATGGCTTCTTGGGAATGCCTTGCAGTCGTTCTTGCAGAGCACTGGGGCATTTGAAGTTTACTTCAATGGTGAACTGGTTGGTTCCTTCCTTCTATCTTTTATTTTCTTATATTTATTGGTAGACATTTCTTCCCTAGTTGAGCCTCTGATTTTTCTCTTAGGTAAATGCAAGTTTTGTTGTGCTTTTTGACTATGAGGGCACATGTAATCAATCAAAATTGGATAGATGTCTCACATGAGTAGGCTTATCAACGTTTTTACCTTTTTACTTGATTCCTCCGGTTAGCTGAAGACTCAATTTGAAAATTTTAGTTACTGTGATATAATATTAAAATGCCATCATTATATTTGGCTACACTTGTTGCATTCTTATCAATTATCACTCTTTTTGCAGAGGGTTCTATTTTATTGTTGAATGCATATTTATTGAGTAATATTGTATTTAATAAACTAAAACTAGTTTAATATTTCTGCTGCAAGATTGGGGCCACAACAGTTAAATGAAAAAATCTTTTGTTAACTTAAGCCAAATAACTACATGGTGGTCCCTTTGATATACTTATTTAAACTTTTGTAGTTTAGAACATCTGCTTTCAGATTACTACATGCCTTTTCTGGGTGTTTGGGGGAGAGCTGTTTTCTACCTTGCTATCAACTTTCAACTGATTGAGTGTTTGGCCTTGCTGTATATTATTTGATTATGAGGTTTCTTGTGTTTAAGGTATATAATTTGTGGATCTTTACTATAGAGTTTATTTGTGTATACCCTAAGAATTGGACCAATGGTAAATTGATCATGAATACACGTTTTTTTCTGTTTAAAGTGTTACTCTAGAGTTCCTAATATGGTGGTTAGATGGCAGGTAAGGTAAATATGTGTCATCTTCAATGTTTTTGAATTCTTATTTATCCTTTCAAACTATTCTACCCTTGAAGGTGTTCTCTAAATTGAAGGAGCGAAGGTTTCCCGGAGAGATCGAGTTGAAGGATTTAATTAGCAAAAGGATAGCTAATTCTGTACATGTCAATGGTGTGCATAGTTGAGGTCTTAGCTTATCTGCCTTTTGTGGAGACATGTTTTGAACGGTCATAAATGATGTAACTGAACCTGCCATTGCATTGTTGTAGAGGTTGGTATACAGATATCATAGGAATATCATGTTTTAAGTTATCCAGTGTTTATACTGACTAGAGCATGAACTTTCTGTATTGGAAGAACCAAGTAACTGCTGAAGGCAAAACTCAGTTAATTTCAGTTTGTGCAGAGTTTACATCTTATAAAATTTTGTCCATTGTGATATCTTTTTATTATCTGCTCAAGTAACTACATCTACTACGTGAAAATTTGAATGGTAGGAAAAGGCAATTTCGGCTACATTGCTATTCAAAGTATAAGACCCGTAGACAAGGCGTGTTGTAGAAATGTATGGATAAAACTATGACTAGATACGATTACAAAGTCAAGCATGAAAAAGCAAGGGTGAGTAAGTACATGCGTGTCAAGACAAGATTTTAGGAAATGAAACAATATATAAAAGAGATTAAGCTCAAGTAAAGATCGTTTGTGTAAGTGATAATAATGACTCCTTTAACATAAAATAAGTTGTCGAAACATTGAAACAGTTACTTGAGATTTCCATCACGTTTTTCCTTATTTAACTCATTTAACCAATAAAACTCATTCACGTGTATTTATATAAATTCTAATGCTAAAATTTGTCGTACTAAATTGCAATGCTCCTTCTTCAAATCACTTTGATATAATTTGAGCGTTACAAGCTTGCTATTCAGTTAAGTAGTGGTGATTTCGTAAAATCCCATTTTATAAAAAGTTTTTTGTTGGGTGTAAAATTGATTGATTTTCATTCTTGTCAGCGGCAGTTGCATAGAGAGGGACTCGCACTAGTTCACAGTTGCAAAACTTATCCACCCAAAGAATCTGCTGTCAACATATTATTATTGTGAATTGTGATCATACAGTTGGGGAATAGTATATAAACAAGAAAATTGGTTTATTGGTGCTCAATAAACCAATAAGGGGCCTAAGACAGCCTAATTTTTTTCCTTCCCCTTCAAGGCTCAAGCCAACTCCCGAGTAACCTCTTTTTTTTGTAACAAGTATAACTAGGACAGCTCCTTGCTGTTCAGCTTACTGAAATTCATCTCCTGAGAATTATTTGGCTTTCGAAATTTATTGCTCCAAAATGATTCAGTTAAATACATTTCATCGTCTTCTTATTGTTTTAATAATAACCTGCAATGTAACCAATAAAGAAAAGTATCAGCTGAAAGGCTCTAATGACATTTCTAAGCCTCAATAAAAATTACTCCCAGAAAGTATTTACCTTGAAAGTTTTCATATTCTGCTTATATCACGGCCAAACACAAAAGTTGTGGCCCAATTGATAGCTACATAAAATCTGTTCCTCCAGCTGATGACACGAGTTAGATATGCTGAGCGCCAAATAAACCAACTGATAAAACCTGCCAAGGATAACCCTTTCGCCTCCTGTAGGAATACATGAGTGAATCAAACACCATGAATTTTTAAAAGAACCAGCAAAAGCTTCGGAATTTTAAAAATCACCTTGTTCTGTCTGAGGTCCACTAGAGCCTTGTAACTGCCAATAGTTGCCATGCTTCCAAGGTGCTTGTAAACAAACGGATTCCCAAAGTCTATATCTTTGGCGCAGTTTGCACGGCCACCATTGGCTTTACCTATTTTGTTTAGTAAGCTTGCCAAATATTTACCTTGCCTCTCTGCCACCTGTGGAATTCAAATGGCAATGCATTAACTTGACAGGAAGAGTAAGCTTTCAGGTAAGTATAGAAGTATGTAAGATATTTAGAATGAAATGTGTCAAGGACTTAGGCCTTAGTGTAGAATCAGAACTACAAATTACAATTTAAGAAATGAAAGTATTTGTAGGAGAGAATAATGATCCCAGGTGTTACTCACTTGGGCTAAAGCTGGAAGTGCTGGTTTTCCAGTACTTTCAACAAATCCACTGCAGTCACCTATTGAGAAGATATCCTCTACTGAAGGAACACGAAGCCAATCATCAATCCCTATCCTGTGAATAAGACACTTTCAGATTCTGCTTCCAGAAAATACTGTAATCTATAGTTTTTAGTTACAATGCAAGGGCAGAAGATGGGGCATATCAACTGTGTCAAATGGTAGGAAACGTGGAGGAATTTGACTAGGAAAGTAAAACATAACTACATACATATGTATGGAGGTAAATCGACACTAACGTCAGCCTTGAAATATGCCACACTGTAACTTATTACTGAATTCAATAATTGATTTTAAGGTATTCTACCTATTAATTTCTATGTTAAAGTTTTGAAGATTCAAAAACATGAGTAGATAATCAAATAATTGACAATTTCTTATATTTGATGACTGCATGTTACAAAAAAAAAATATTCTTGGATTTATGTTAAATTTTATGAGCAAACCATGTTTGAAATAACTCTCAACCAACAATGAAATTAAAATTTTATCTCATGAAAAGCTATTCATTGACTTAAGATTAATTTTGATCAAAATACTAAATTCAGTCTTCTTGTACATTTTACATGCATGTCATGCTAAGAGTAATACCTTTGGACAAATCAAATCCTGCTTTCTTGATAAGACAGAACAAAATACTATATCTATACATAAGTAAGCTGCCAAATTGTAAATTTGAAATGGCTGTCAACAGAAAGAAAATAAATGCAACTATGTTAAGTAACAAGAACAACCTTCCACCAGGAGATTTAGGGAGATCCAAAGAGTGAATAATAGGTGATGGACCAACTCCAGTAGACCATACCAGCAACCCATATGGAACCTCAGTACCATCATTAAGGATAATCTTCTGATCTCCAACATCTTTTACAATGCCACGGACAAGTCGGACTCCTGACTGATAGAAACTTCAACATGAGGAGATATAAAACTGATATTTAAAAATTTAAACAGCTAGCCAACCAATCAGTTTTCAGTATACTGATTGCACTGTGAATAAGAGTCCCATCAATTATATGAATGATTCCAAATACCTCTACTAGAACAATTGTATCATGATTATATTTGGCCTTTTGGCAATTAATGTGACAGAGTAACTAATTCAATATATATTCCTTTAATGATATTCTGAAGTTCAAAATCAACAGGAATATGTTGAACATACAGAGAAAAAGCTCTTTTTAACATATAGCTCAGTGGCTCACCTTTGTCAATTGGTTGGTGGCATAATGCCTGAGTCGAACATCAAAGGAAGACAATATCTCATTGGCCTAAAAAAAGGCATGAATAATTGGTCAACATAAATTACCTTAAATTAAGTCATGAAGAAAAAGTGATAACTTATTGTGGAAAAAAATGGATTCCAGGAACTACAAGGTGTTTCTAACCATTATGCTGGCAAGAATTGTTAGACATGGAGATGTACAACAGAAAGAGCAAGATGTTTGATGCCACTGGCCATAGAAAATATATATACCCTATTGCTTGAATCACACATCTAATGCTCAAAGCATACCTCAATTAACGTAACATGGATGTAGTCTTTCACATGAGCATATCGTTGACGGACATCTCTCATGATAAAATCACTAAGCTCACCACTAAATTCAACTCCAGTTGGACCACCTCCCACAACCACACAGTGTAACAGCCTTTGTTTCTCCTCTTCCGCAATCCCTGCATTTAAATAAAATTAGTTTACATTAGTGATGTATAATTACCATTTATAGTTATTTCTTATTAAGCTCACAAAACAAAACTATCGTAAACCTGGAACATCAGAAAGCATCAAGTTCAGAAGCAACTTCCGACGAATTTCCTGTGCATGGTGAACTTCACGAAGAAAAATTGCATGCTCATTGACTCCGTGAATTCCAAAAGTGGTGGGCTGTGCTCCTAATGCAATTACCAACTTATCATATGAGATTGAAAACTTCCAAGGATCTAGTGTCTGTGTTCCTTCAGTTACAGTCTCACATTGCACCTTCAAAACCAATAGTCAATTTTCCCCTGTTAGGCCACATTGTCGTTACCAATATTTCGACTAATAATAGCCACATCGTGACTCCCAATATTTCAACTAATACTAGCATGATACTAGATATGAAATTCAATTTTCACTGGGGCTTCAGGTTGCAGGAGCTGCTTTGATAGTTCTAGTTCCAATAAAACAACAAATCTTACTAGATAGGGTAGATAAAAAGATATAAACATAACAAAAAAAATTATAAAAAAAATCCATTTACAAATAATGTACCATTGGTTTCAAACTTCGAATAAATCCCTTGGAGTTTCCATACTAATGGGAAAAAGTTCAATCCAGTTCACCCGATAGAGCAAGATATCTACACATTCCGTATACCTAACCGTAAGCTTATAAGTTTATTCCATACATCCTAAGGTGCTTCCCTAGATAAAATATGTCATGATTTTCCATCTTTAAACATGTATTATGTATATAAGGTCACACAGAAAAAAATGCGATGGCACTGCTTAATCCTTGAACACGTAGTTGGGTAGAGTAAGATCATTGGATGCAAGTTGACCGCACATGTCCATTATCAAGTGATCAAATCATAATCAATTTAACATGAAATTTAATTCAACCATTCCAAAAGTCTAAAACTAAAATGGAAAATGTAACGAGTCTAGGGAATCAAAAGTAAATTTTTTTTATTAAAATATATAACAATACGCGCACCCGTGATTTTCAATACATCCCAACATAATTTTTGATAAAAAAGAATAATTTAATGAACAAAATTCAACAAACACACATTGAGAAAAGACATATATAATTTATGCACATACCACATGGTTATGGGCATCAATACCAGTACAATTGGCAAGGAAAAAAAAAGAACCGGGTTCTCTGGAAATAGCGGGTTGGATCCTGGCAATGGGTTCAGCAACGGATCTGAATTCGAGAGTTCCAACACAGGTGGAAGCCAAGAGAGGAGTGAAGACCATGTGATTGCGAGGGGACACACAAACGATGTCGTATATTTCAGGATCCAACCCCTTCATGAGGCGGCACCCGGCCCAACCAGAGCCCAGCACCACCACGCGGGGCTTCTCATGGGCCTTGGTGGGTCCCAGACCCGCATAGCCAACCGGACCGGCGGAACCGGAGGCGGTGCTGAAGCGAGATAGAGAAGAAATAAAAGAGTGTGTGTTTTTGGCTTTGGTAGCGGAAAAGTTGGAGAGGTGTCTGAAGAAGGACATGGCGACGATGCGAAAGTGCAAGATAATTGATGTGAGAAGAAAAGTGAATTCGCGTTAGAAAAGAATGAGAGAAAGACCCAACGATGTGGGCGTAATCAGTTTGACTTGACCGATGTAAGGGGGGAACATGTTGGGTGGCTGCTTTCACGGGATGGCATTGTTGTTCTTTGTTGAATTTTATGTGCCAATGCCATGCCACACTGTCGCATGGTAGTAAAATCAGACATGTTTTTGTTCTGCCACGTTCACTCTTACGTTGGTTCTCCATATTTAACGTTGTTGATATATTAATTTTTATTTTAAAAGTTTAATGTTATATTTTTAATAACCAATAAATTTTCAATTCAAGTTTATACGCTCATTTTGTTTGCTTACTCTGAATTTTATGCTTCTATAACTTAATCATTTATGGATTATGTCAGATTCTAGGCATGGTTGAGAAAGTGAGCTAGAGATTGAAGAAATAGTAAGCAATATAATTGAGAAAGTGATCTTCATTTCACTTTCAACTGGATTGAATACTAATTGCTTGAGTGAGTGTTAGCAAATTGATGCCCTAACCAATTATGCTATGTGAATTATTTTTTTTAATGGGATTAATCTTTTCCTTATATAATCAGACGAAAGTGTAAATTTTAGGATTTGATATTGATACGCGGGGCCATCAGCGACCAAAAAGCGTTTACGTAATCAAATTTCACCAAGAGTCCACAAAATTCGAAAGGAGAATAGTTTTAAAATGAGATGCAGGATTTTACGGAAAACTGTTGTTGTAAAGAGATTAATTAAATAATTAAAAAATAATTTAATAACATGTCTGTGATTAAATGACAATTTCTAACTTAACTTCCAATTTCAAATCCGAGTTTTAATTTATAGTGTTATGTTGAATACTAAAAAAAATAAAGAAATATGCTATTTTGTTCTTTCAATTTATATATATATATATTTAACTTAATTTTTAAAAGTATAAAAAATTATTTCTTGAAATGATAATTTTTTTCTTTAAAATTATAGGCATTTATTAATTAAATCCTCAAAATTTTGAAAAATCATAAAAAATTGATCATATTAGTTATTAAAGTTATAAATATCAGTTAATTTAGTTCTCAAAATTATAAACAAAATTTTAAATCCCTTATAAAAAAAGTAAGTATATTTTAGTTTATAAAATTGTAAGTATTAATCAATTTATTTCTTAATTTTATAAAAATATCACTTTAATTCTTAATTTTTGTTAAGTGTCAGAAATTCATATTTTATCATTAGTTTGACATTATTTTTGGGTTAAAATGTAAATAATTTTAAACATATTTAACCCCTAAATAGATAAATTAATGTAATTCAAGAAATCACAAGAATAATAGTATTTTAGTTTAAAATATCTTTTTTTTTTTTGTATAAAATTTGATGAAGTCTGAAATTTAGGATTACAGCCCTAACTCTACAACTATAGCCACGAAATTATGCAACAAAACGAGGATTTTAGAGTTACAGTTATGATTACGAATCTGCAACTACAGCCATGAGAAAATAGAGTAATTAGGACAATCTAGATCTCCACAGCTGCAACTAAGAATTCATAGTTACAGCGGTGAAATTAAAATTCTCAAATTTCTCTTATTTTAAAAACTGTATAAAATAGAATATGAGAGAGAGATGAAAGACACATGCAGAGCTCAAAAAAGAGAGAAATTCAAGAGAAAACGAAGCACAACGAAGACATGGAGAACAAAACGCTTGAGAAGGAGGACCCTTCTTCATCTCTTCTTTTTGTAATTTTTACTTGTATCTTACTATGACCCTCATTATGAGTAGTTAGTTTCTTTTAGATTGGATTTGATATAACTACTAACTTTATTTCTTCTTGAGTTTATATGATATTCAGTTTCATTACTTATGTGTAATTCTAATCTTAATGCTTATTTTGGCTTGATCACCCATTTTATGAAATAGGGTTTGTGATTCTGTTGGAAAACGTTTTCTTAACTTGAACTGAATCATCACATCTAACAAACTCGTACTAGGAATAGACTTGGGTTTGTTAGCCACTTATGTTTAAGCTATTATTTTTAATGTAATGTGTTATTCTTAATCATAGAGGGATCATGTTTTAAGATTAACTAGTTTAGGACCTAGTTTTGAGAGATGTGGTTAAATTACTCAATGAATGTGGGAGTAAGATAATTTAAATTATATTTACTCGTTGAAGATAAAAGTGTTAGCAAGTGCATTTGAATCAAATCTCTTTCTTACATAAAGTTTTTTACTAAATTTTACTCTATTTGCTTTTATTTATTTTCATACAAATCACTATTTCAACCATGCTTTCTATTTTTGTATATAAACAAGAAAGAAAATTACTATTATCACCAAATCCCTGAGGATGATATCAATTTATTATAATGAAACTTGATCCGCTTGCTAAGTATTATCAAAACCATCACCAATTTTTTTTTAAAAAAAATTATTTAGTCCTTTTTATTTTATTTTCATTATTTATATATATATATATATATAATTAAAATAAATATAATTTAATAAATTTTAGAATAAAAGTGAAAATTTTTATAAAGTTAAAGATTAAAAAAATTAGCATTTATAATTTGAGAAATTAAAATGAATATTTACTCTTTTAACATTCAATCATTTTAAGGATACTTCATCATTTTAGCTCCTAGAATTATAACAAAAGAATTTTAATTCTAGAAACTATTTTAAAAATATTAATTTTTTAAATAATCTTTGTGAATTTTTTCTAACTGACATGTTAAATATGATAAATTAAATGTCAACAAAATAACTACATGATTACCTGTGTTATTAAATAATGTAGTTTTATTTTATGAAAAAAAAAGAAAGGATGTGTTACATGGCGCTTTAAATAAAACAATAAAATATGTTATCTTAATTATAAAAAATTATTGTATATTTTGTCTTTATATATATTACTATATGAAAGTTATCACACCTTTATCTTTTGAGACATACTATTGTGTCCATTAATATCCACTCCTTTTTTCTTTCTTTTTTATTTTACTTTCTTGTTCTCTTCTCTTACATACTTGTTCTAAAAGATACTTCAATGAAAGCTCCATCAAAGATTATAAGAAACAAAGTATGAGCATGAAGAGAAACAATGGTGCATTGATTTTTTTTTTTCCATCTCATCCTTTTATGATAATTGGGAATAATTAGTTGAATAGATAAGAACTTTTTTACACTTCTATTATTACAGACAGTTTTGGGCCATTTAAACTAACCAATTAAAATTTTTTAGATGTACTAGTACTAGCAATAGAAAGTGCATCTTTGATGTATTCATTAATTTTTTCGAGAAGCCAAAATTACTGCGAGTAAACATATTAATAATGAGGAAGGCATGTTATGCTGCTAATACTTTACTTGCTCTGCTATTCTACTCAAGCTTGATTGAGGAAGAATTACTAGGCATAAAACAAAAAAAATGTGGACTAAAAGATTTCATACTCTTTTTTTATTAAGCATAGAAACACTATTTCTTTTTACAACACTTTTTCTTTTTATTTCTCTTGATAATTTATTCTTTATATTTCATACTTTTTTTTTCTTTCTCTCTCTTTAATAAAAAATTATTAAACAAATTTCATTTAAGAATAACATTATTTGTGAGTAAATAGAGTAAGAAAAATTTGTAGAAGATTTAAAATAAAAAGCAATAAAAATAGAAGAGCACAATACAAATTTTTTACAAGAAAACTCTTCCAAATAAACTTAGGTCATTTGGCTTCACCTTCACACTTTTTTACACTTAGTTTTAGTTTTATCTCAATCCAAATTTCTTTATAATTGTCAATCTCTCGTACTAAAGTTACTAACGACCAATAGTATTGTCAATATTCTTTTCCTTGAAATATTACTCTCATGGTCAAAAAAAGAAAAAATGTGAAGAACTTATAAGCTTGTTAATTCAATAATCAATTAAAAAATGAAAACTAAGTTTGATCCATTTAATTTCTTAAACAATTTTATCCTATAGTTTTGTTAACTACATGTAATATGGTCACATAATCATCAAATCAACTATAATTTATTAAGAATGGTCAAACCTCAACATAAGAATACACAAATGGTAGGGCAAAAACTAATCCTCAAGAGAAATTAAAATTGTGATTAAACAAAAAAAATTACATAAAATGTAAGAAAGATTTACTGTAACTCTAGTTACAAAGTAAGTTACATATAATGAAAATAAAGAATAATTATCAAGAAACAATATTCATCTCAAAGAAAAATATAAAACAGGACAAATCATAAAAGAAAAGAGATAAAAATAATCTTTGTTGCCAAAACTCGCTTTCATCACCAATGATCTTCACTCTCAAAATGTATCCAAAAGTTATTCAAAAATCTCCTGTCGCAGGTTCTAATCATCCTTTAAATAGGACCCTTAAAAATCTTAAAAAATCTTATAAAATAAACCATCAGAAAGAAAAACATTGATGTCCCAGAGAAGCATTGATGTGCATCCCCGTCAAGCACTCCCGTGCTGGTCCACTAAGCATGCTCATGTTGAATGCTAAATAGGGTCATGTAGTGAATTGCTCATGTTGTTTCATCAAAATTTTCTCTTATTGTGTTCAAAATGTTTCTGGGTAATTAATTCATGCTAAATTACAATAATTAATAAAAAAATTAGTATAAAATCTCCATCAAATAAAGACTAAATATGTAAAAATATAAGCTATAAAAGTGCAACAAAATATAAACTTATCTAACACTTATCACTTACACACGTACAAAAAGGCTACATTTACATCTACACCAGATGGATGTCAGGCAGCTAAGTACACGTAGTATATACTCAGATTTTCTTGGTATTTAGTATGTCTGATCTAAATGTGGAATTAAAAATCTCAAGTAGGAGACGGAGTTGGCCGGGTAAGAATACAACCACAGACAAGCTTGCAATGGAGATGAGAAATTTCACTATCTTAAAATGTCCATGATCCCTAAGCACCAAAGAAAAGGCAGAACAAAATGCTACGATCATGGCCAGCACTGAACATATGAGTGTAAAAAGACCCAACATTAACTTGAGAGGAAGGGATTTAAGAAAATCCCTTTCAGCATTACGTGATGTGAGGATTCCAATAAAAGTCATCACAGAAGTGGAGGAAGCAAAAAGAGAGATTGCATCAGCCACCATATAAACTGTGAACATTTTTTTATGCAGGAAGAGTGGAATGCCAGTATTTTGGTCGTTTCCGCCTGGAAGTGTGAACGCTGCTGCAAACACAATGGTTATGATAAGAGCTCCCACTATTGTGAAGGAATTTGCTGTCTCTTTTGCCCATGTCTCGGCATCCTTCAACAGCTCCTCATGTTTTTTGGTAAATAGTTCTCTAGGCTTCATGCCATCTCCATTCACAGCTAGTTGAAATTTTGGATGCAAAATTCTTTTCACCGCCTGCAGCAATTGTATCAAATGTGTTAAGAAGAAAAGAATAGTTGACATTATACCTATCGTATAATGTGATCTTCGTGTCAGCAAGAAATGTTTTGAATAAAATGAATTGGATTGAAATGTGTTGATACACTAATCATAAATTTCCATATAATTGAAAATTATTAACTTTTAGACATTTATTTTTAAAATCATATATATTAAAATTATATAATACATTTTTATTAAAAATTATAAAAATTCAATCGATTAACAACATTGAATGTTGTATATTTTACTAAAATCTTATTATTTACGACTTTTTATTATGTTTTCGACATACATTAAAAAAATGGTTATAGAAATAAACAAAAGATTAAGTCATTAAGTTAGATTCTAATTCGGAGGAAAAATATTCACCATAAACCATTGAAGTTCTCTTTGCATTTGTAAGGCTGGACCAGATTTACGATCAAGCTCGGCCGCAGGCGCTAATATCCCTGTCAAATGCAACATATTGTTACCAAATATATCTGTCCTGGAAATAATCACTTTTCCCTGTCCTTTCAAGCCATTTATGAGGTTGAAAATTTTTTCTCGACGATATAGAACTGCATATGAAAATATGCCTCTTTTATTCTCATCAATAACCCAGTAGAGATCAGGATTAGCTACAGTCAATATAGTTATGAACTCTACAATTCCAGTTTTGGAGGCTTCCAACAGAGATTCGTAAACTGAGGCCTCTTTCAGCTTTGCTTCATCAAAGCCCATAATTGCTTTAGCCATGCGATTAAGAATCTCAACTGTACGATGATGAGTCATTTTTTTCTTATATATTTTCTTTATCCCTGCGAAAGGAAGAATATGAAATGGTTGCAGTAATAAAAAATGTTAATTATTACTACAAATAATATATATTGATCAGGAGCAATTAACTGTGGGCATAATTATACCGTCTTCTCTCAGGGTTAGCAATAATTATACTTTAACTTTATTTGGATGAGCATGTCTGAATTTAAATGCACTTGATTTTGTAAAATTATTTTATTTAAAAGTGAATTTTAAATTAACATTATTATATTTGAAAACTCTTTTTAAAAAAGTAAATTTAAAGTAATTTTTTTAACTTAATACAAAAATTATAATTTATTAGATTAAGTCAAATATGAGTTCGAAGACATAATTAATCTAACTCAAAAGTATCCAAACATCAAAATTCTGTATATAACTATCTTGCAATGAAATAAACAATATTTTAACTTACATTCAAACATGCTATTATTTTATATACTATTCTTATATTTTAAACCATACACATAATTTCTTTAAAATTAACAAAAACAATAAAATAAACGGAGGTAAACCATATAAAAGTTTTTGTATCTACTGCTGAACACACTCTACATACCAGGAAGAGCAAGAAGAAGTTTGGTAATCGAACGATGTCCAAAAAGGCGACCTAGAAATGGATTTGAAAATGTGTAAAGTTTAACATAGAAGCAAGCGATTTAATCATAGAAACCCATTAACATGGAGATAATGATGTAAAATGTACTAGTTTTATTAATTACGATAATAACTAAATGGTAATAATTAAATAAAAAAAGTATTAGTTTAACAGACCTGATTTATTCTTTTTTCCTTCGTCTGTGTCTATATTGATGATGGTCGGATCACTGTCGTTCTCATGTACAATGGGCATGACTACCATAAATATTTATGAAATCATATAAGCAATACCTTAAAGTGCATACAAATTGATATAAAAGATAGATAGCAAACAAACTCAATAATATGAAAAAAGGGAATAACTGTATTTAGTATAATAATAAGAAAAAAAGAGAGTAGACTACGTGAAAGTTGCTTAAAACAAACCAAAATGTTAAGAGGGTGAGTATCTAATATCTTCCTTTCAACAATTGGATTTCTAATATTTTTCTCAAGTGGGAATGCTAAATCCCCCGAGAAAATGCTTAATCAGACCAATGCTTTACAAAATGAATTAAATACAAAAAGTCCAAACTATTTATATCATTTTATATTATTAACATGATTTTTAAGCACTCTTAAAATAATTTATAATAAAAATTTACTGTTATGAATTTTATAATCAATACTCTTAAAATATTGATTAATAAAACCTTTTATTTATGAATCATTTAACCCGTTTCCATTAAACCGAGAGACTTCACTCACACTCATGTATTATCATTTTTTTTATCTAGCTAGGCACAATCATGTATTATTTCATTCAAACGGATGGGAGACAAGTAAAAAGAGAAAATTATAACAGAGGAAAACAATATCTGACTTTCTAAAATGAAAAAAAAAATATTACGTGTATATTTGTAGGTAAATTTGTTTAAAAAAATCTTAATTTTCATTTAATTTTTTAACTTTTATTCATAAATTAATTATAATCGACTTTTTTAATTCTGTAGTCTCACGGTAATGACTCTATAGAAGTTGATTACATAAAAAAACTTAAAAATTAAATAAAAATTAAACATTTTAGCAATCTCTCCTTCCTTTTAAAATATTAAATTAAATTAAATATAAAAAATCATAAAAATTCTTTGGCCCCATCGTTTCCCTGCAACGGAACACTGTTAACATTTTTCATTTCTACGAAAACCAAGTTATTCTGCCTAAAGAGTAAGGGAGAGTAGAAAAATTTTCTTTTACAATGTATAAATTAGGATTAGTTTTTTATATGATATTTAAAAATAATATATACTAAAAATAGTGTTTTTGAAAAGTTTACAGAAATATATAAATATAGAAATTCAGAGATGAAAGAAGAAAAAGTGATAAAGTATAAAAAAATCTATTTTTTTTTAATAATAAATTTTAAAAAACTAAAACTTGCTGAAATTTTTAAAATAATAATAAAAAATTTGAAAAGTACCAGATATCGTCATTAATGGTTTGTGTGACGATTTTTTAAATTTTCTATACCATATTTTAGTAATTTTTTACTTTTTTTCATAAAAAAGCTGTCTGGCAGTTTTTGTGACAATTTTAATTTTTATAATTTTTTCAAAATACTATATTTTAGTTCCTTTTTTTTATAAAAAAAAATCTATAAATCACATTATTATCACATGTATAACGTATAAAATAACATAATATTAATATTAATAAAAGAATATCTTAATAAGTATATTTGAGAGAGGATACATAACTTTTTCCTCTTGTAGAAGAGGGTCTTACCTTTGTAAATCCACCGCCAGAGCCAGAATTTAGATGGAACTACACTGGGGAACACAGAAGGCTGCTGGGCCAATGCATATAGAGGACTAACACCATCAAATTTCTTGGTTAGGGGTACTCTGGGATTACGTTTGAGCAGATCCAATGCAACATCTAGATCGTGCCAAAAAATGTAAAATAAAAAATAGAATATGTTAACCTCAGATTTTTAAGACTGAGATTAAGAATCTAATAATAATAATTTTTATTAAAGAAATATTTATTATATGAAATGTTATAAATACTTTCTTTTTAAATAAAAAAAATTAATACGCTTAAGGGTTTATTAATCACTATAAATTAACAAAACAAAATACAATAATCATTCTGTCCAAACAATTAGAACTGGAACTTACATTGGATTGTTCCTAATGAAGTCAAACTTTATTTTAAACTTCTCTATATTTCTCAAGGTTAAATGGAACTTGATATAAGTATTCTTATGTAACGTCAATTTTGTAAAAAAAATTGTTTAGCTTATATTATATAATATTATATTTATTTAAATAAGTTAAAATTTTCTTTCATATATAAAATGTTTTCAACACACAAGTCTGATCATTTTAAGGAGATATGTTTTAATAAAACAACTTACCTAATTTACTGAAATTAGGCCTATCAGGTCCTTAGCCTATTCATTCAAAAAGGGACATATTTGACAGTTAAGATTTTTGTGAAGGTCTTACCAAATATCTGGCTAGTGATACATCTGGTAAGTAGTAAAGCGCTGGTGTGGTCATTGTCCTTGAACAACTCCTCCTTATGAAGAGTTAGAGTTTCGTGATAGAGATAGTTAGCCATATTTTGGTTGCCTTTAACAGCAGCAATAACAACAGGTAAGAGTCCCTCGTTAGTCTTGATTGTTAACAAGTCTCCATTTCTCTTAACCATGCATTTGGCAATGGATATTGTGTCACTCAATTCTGCAGCAAGAGCCAGAGCTGTATATCCTCTTGTATCACGTTCCACCAAAAGCCGCTTTGGCACTTTATTTACTAACTTTTCCACCATATCCTCTTGTCCTGTCAGAACTGCAACATGAAGAACGGTCTTTCCCATTTTTGAAGTTTCATACATTGCCTTGCGATTGTTATTCGCAAAAGTTCTTGCAGTGTCCATATCACCTCTTTGTACACTTCTGTGTAGAGACGGCAGTCCTGACGTTTATTCATTTAACAAAAAGAGTGTGATGAAGAAAATTTATTATGAAATTAATATGACCAAATAATTATAATATTTTTTTAAATAAATTCAAAGGTTAGTTCTCAAAATTTCATAAGTTGGATATTTTAATTCATAAAATTTTAAAAACTTCCTTTTTTTTTTACTTTTTTACTGTTATTTTATATATATTTTTAATCAATCATATATAGTTGGTTAGTTTGATTTAATTTTGAATGAGATATATATATTTAATCTCTGATAACGAATATTTATTTATGAATTAACTCTTATACTTGAATAATTTATAATTTAATCATTAAATGAAAAATATTTTGATATATTTTATTATTTTAGTTTCTACTATTATAACAAAATTAGAAAAAATTATTCTATATTTTTAGTATTCTTTTAAAATATCATAATAACAGAAATTAAAACATAAAAAATTATTTAAAAAAAAATTAAAACATGATTTTTAAATGTATAAAAATTTAAGGTGTAATTTTTTTTAAATATATAAATTAATTTATAAATGACTATCAATTATATAACTGGAAAAAAATGTGCAATTAACAAGAGTATGTAATATTACTATCACATAAATTAAAAAAATTAAATAAATTTCTAAGACAAAATTTAAGTGCAATATTAATATTATAAGAATTGATGATGAATCGAGTTAGAATTTTTTCCTGAGTAATATTAGTACAATAACTTTTAATACTGATTTTTATTGTGTATATTAATAAAATAAAACTTTAACTTTGAAATATAAATATAATTTATCCTATATTTGATCGTGAAAAAGAAAATTTGAAAGAAAAAAAAAAGGGAAAGGTGCAGGATTACCTTGCTCAATATCTGCATTAGCTCCAAGTCTAGATTTGTACAATGAAGCCAAGGTATTCCAGGCACCTTTGGCTGTCTTAGTGTCTTTTATCTGAGAAAACGTTTCGGATCCGCAAGACATCTGAATAATATGCAAAGCCTTTGCATTCTTCTTTCTCCTTTCAGACGCATTTTCAGGAGTCTGTATCTGTCTTTGCAGTTCAGATGAATTTTGAGGAATTTGTGTATTATCTTCTATAACACCAACCCACAGATCCTCGCTCATTAGATAATTCTTGGCCAGAATACTCCAATCGTCGTAGTTGTCTGGGGTAAGGGCTTCAGAAACGATTCCGTTGGGTGTAGTACACGTTGCCATAATTGATAACCTGACTAACCAAAATGTTAAAAAAAAAAATTTACAATAATAATGGAACCAAGAATAACAGTTAATTGGAGTGCTGGATTGGTAAACAGATCTAGCTTTATGAGGAACTAGTAGACACAAATTAAGGGATCCTAAGAAATAAAAAAAGATGAGAGGAAGATCAAACCTGGAGCTGGATGAAGTGAGGGAGTCAAAAGAACTTGAGGAAGGGAACACTCTAAAATGTGGTCAACGGACACAGAAAAATGGATAGCGGTACATGATGCTTCATTCTTGGTTTTTTTTTTTTTTTTTCCTATTTTTGGTCTGAAGATGCTACATTGTTGCTGTTTTGTTACCCGGGCCAACTTCAACAATGCGCCCAACATGGTCCTACTACGTATGGATCCATCAATGGACCAAGGCTGATAACTAGCCTTTACTAAACTATCAATATCATTCTTATTCTTTCATAAATTAATTAAAACATTACGTATATAATTATTAATTATTTTAGTTCTTATTATTTTAAAAATTTATCAAAATAATCAATAATTTAAAACACATTAGTCTTTAATTTGTATAATCATTCACTATTTTAATTCTGAACATTTATAATTATCTAGTATCTATCAACCATTATATATTACATATTATATCTTAAAATAATTAATAATTATATATGTGAAAGATTAAAATAATATTTTATTTAAATTATAGATTATTTTAATTAATTCTCAAAATTATAAAATTAAAATAATTGACAATTATATAAATAAATTTTATAAAGGCTAAGAGTTTATTTTTGCTATTTTAGTCTCTAAAAATTTAAAATATTAAATTAGTCCTTTAATTTTTGTCATTCACCTTAATCTTTAAATACAAATTTGTTAACAAATTGTAACATAAGATTGACATGTCAAAAGTTAGTTGACAAATATAATGTCGTTTTAAAGAATTGAGAGAATAAATATGATAAAATAACGTTATTTTTTATTTATTTATATTATTAGAATTTTTTCATACCCAACTAACTCTAAACTGATTTCGTTAAAGAAATAAAGTTTATATATATATATATATATATATATATATATATATATATATATTAGTAAACTTTTTTAAGTAATCATAATTTTTGATACAAATAAAAAAAATTTAAGTTTTTCAAAGATAAAAAACCTTTGATCCTATTAAGATTTATTACCTCATCCATATTTCTAATAACAAATAAATTCATTTGTATCAATAAACAAACACACTAAGATTCTGTTAAAATTTATTACTTTACCATTGTACTTTTTAATAACAAATAAATTTATTTATTATCAGTCAAATAAACACGATGAAGTAAATTTTTGATTGAATTAATAAATAAATTCAAAAATTTGTAATGAAATAGAAGTAATAAGTATAGATGAGAGAAGTAATAAACACAATGCCAGGTTAACGAGGGTTTAGTCAAACAAAAAGTGTGCTGGAAGGAGAGATTATGACTCTCTTGATGCTGTGCTTTCTCTTGTATCAACAGCGACACCAATCTACAGAAGTCTTTTCTCTGTATTCCATCGTTGCATTTCTAAAAATGGATATTGCAAACAGTGTCCTTGAACATGTTTCGGCGCATTTGTTCTCTATTATTCGAGCTGAATTCGCTGCCTTTTCTGGCATCAAGAGTAACGCTGAAGAGCTGTCAAGTAATTTGGATCGGACCCGATCTATCCTTGAACTTGAAGATGCTGAGGAGAGACAAATAACACACCACTCTATAAAGGATCGGTTAATGCAACTCAGAGAAGTAGTATACTTGGCAGAAGATACCCTTGATGAATATTCCCTACGATCCAATCGACTTGGGGGCTTCTCTTCTTTCAGACCAAAGAACATCATGTTCCGTTACAAGGTTGGTCGCAGGTTAAGATTTATCAAAAGGGAAATTCATCATTTGATGGATGGACTTGGTGACTATTCTCGTATTCAGCTAAATGAAGGGGTTCTTGAAGTTCGACAGCTAAAACCTACAGTATTTGGACGAGTTGAAGATGAAGTGAAGATTTTGGAGTTTCTTCTTGATCAAGCGTGTGCCTTTGACTCCCCTTCTATCTATCCCATTGTTGGCATAGGTGGGGTAGGGAAAACAACCATGGCTCAATTGGTCTACAATAATGAAAGGGTGAGTACCCATTTTAGTGTTAAAATTTGGGTTTCTGTTTCTCAGAATTTCTCTGTCAAGAGGATTTTGTGTTCCATTGTAGATTCTATTGCCAGAGAAAAATATGATGTTTATGATTTAGATGTAATCGAAAGGAAAGCAAGGGAATTGTTGAAAAATAAAAGATATTTGCTTGTTTTAGATGATGTGTGGATGAGAAGCCAAGAATTGGAGTTCGGATTAAGCCAAGAGAAATGGGAAAAGTTAAAGTCTGTGTTGTTGGGTGGGTCCAAAGGCGCTTCTGTTTTAGTATCCACTCGCGATATGGGTGTCGCGACAATGGTGGGAACATGCGACGCCCATCATTTGTTTGGTCTATCTGAGGCTGATTGTTGGTTATTGTTCAAGCACTATGCATTTGGACCTAATAGAGAAGAGAGTGAAGAGCTTGTAGAAATAGGCAAGGAGATAATTAAAAGGTGTGAGGGATTGCCTCTTGCAACAATGGCATTGGGAGATCTAATGCGCTCTAGGAGTGGGGTACAGGAATGGCTTGAAGTTAGGGAAAGTTGGTCTTGGCGGCATTCTCAGGATGGGCATTCTCAGGATGGGAATTCTGTTATGTCTGCCTTGAGATTGAGCTACTCGGATTTAACACCAACCACAAAGCTGTGTTTTGCTTTTTGTGCAATATTTCCCAAAAATACAGAAATCATGAAAGAAGATTTGATTCGTCTTTGGATGGCAAATGGGTTTATTTCATCAACGACAGACTTGGAGGTGGAAGAAGTTGGCAATAGAACTTGGAATGAATTGTGCCAAAAATCATTTTTCAAAGATGTCAAGAAAGATGTTTACTCAGGGGACATTTCTTTCAAGATGCATGATCTTGTCCATGATCTTGCTCAATCAGTCAGTGGGATAAGGTGTATGATTTTGGAGAATGCTAACATGACTAATTTGTCAGAACGCACACTCCATATTGGTTTTGGCTCTGGTCTATTATCATTCAGTAAGGGAGCCTTCCAGAAAGTTGAGTCATTACGGACATTATATCAGTTTGAATTTTCACTTTATAACACAATCTCTGGTTATTTTCCAACAAACAGTTCTCTTCGAGTTTTAAGTACAAGTTATTTTTTCAAGTTATCATCGCTCAAGCGTTTAATTCATCTGAGATATTTGCAGCTTTATGGTTTTGATATGAAATACCTCCCTAACTCAATTTATAGCTTGGGAAATTTGGAAACATTGAAACTGATATATTGTCGTAAACTTGTGTGTCTACCAAAACATTTGACTCGCTTACAGAATCTCAGGCATCTTGTCATTACTGAATGTCATTCATTATCCTGCATGTTCCCTTATATGCACAAATTATCTTACCTAAGAACATTAACATTATTCATTGTTAGTTCAAAGGCAGGGCACAACTTGGCACAGCTAAGTGACTTAAACCTAGGTGGAAAACTAAGCATTGAAGGCCTACAAAATGTTGGTAGTTTATCAGAAACTCAGAAGGCTAAATTGAAGGATAAAATAAACCTACATGAACTATGCTTGTCATGGGACAACAATGGTGAAACCAAGTCAAATGCTATTGATCCTGAGGAAGTACTTGAAGCGCTTCAACCTCACCCAAATCTCAAGACATTGAGAATATATGATTATGAAGGATCACGCTTGTCAAGTTGGATTGGAAATCTAAATTTAGTTGCTCTTGAACTTTTTGATTGCAAAAAGTGTCTACAACTTCCATCACTTGGTAAATTACCACTCTTGAGAAAACTTGAAATATATTCTATGGATGATGTGCAGTACCTGGATGATGATGAATCTTATGGTGCAGAGGAGTTGGCTTTCCCATCTTTGGAGGAACTTGAGGTTCGAGGGTTACCAAACTTACAACGGTTGCTGAAAGTGGAAAGAGTGCAAATGTTCCCCTCTATTTCTAACGTTACCATTGATGATTGCTCTAAACTTCAATTGCCATCCCTTCCATCTATCAAACAACTCAATGTAAGGGGATGTAGCCATGAGTTACTGAGGTCAATCTCTAGTTTCAGTGCTCTTACCTTTCTTAACCTTTCTGGAGGTGGGGACCTAACATCCCTCCCAAAAGAAATGCTGATAAACCTGACATGTCTTGAAACTATGATACTATATAATTTCCCAAAAATGAAGGCATTGCCAGATAAACTTAGCTACCTCAATGCTTTGAAGCATTTGGAAATCAGATATTGCGGTGAGCTTGAGTCTTTACCACAGCATGGTTGGGAATGTTTGCGCTTCCTTCACCATTTGGAGATTGCTTACTGTGAAAGATTAAGATCCTTGCCTGAGGGTGTTCAACAAGTCAACTCACTTGAGGTTTTGACCATTGAATGCTGCCCAGAACTAGAGAAGCGATGCAAGAAGGGAACAGGAGAGGATTGGGACAAGATAGCACATGTTCCAAATGTAATTTTGTTACAATAGTACGAGGAACAACCAAACTTTTTAAGATCCTTTATATGCATTTGTACACTCGCACAATCTCAATTCATTTCTCATATTCTTCCTTTGCTGCCACTCCTTCCCTTTGTTTCCTTGTTAGTGGCTACACCTCCACTCAATCTGGTAGGCTCTCTCTTAATCATTTAAATAATAAAATTTAATGATCTATATTTTTTATTTTTTTTTTTCACAATAATCAAATATTCTTTTTCTATAGTCACATGTCAATTTTAAAACAAATTGCTTACTTTTTTATTTATTTGTTTAAGCAAATATTTACAGTTATTATCACTTTAGTAAACATTAGAAATTCATTGATTAGTAGCAAGAAATATTTTATAATTAATGTGTGAGTAGTTGGAGCAATGTTTGAACTTCATTGGCTTGTCTTGATAGTTAGTTTCATATGATTTATTAGAAATACATAAGGACCTTGCTACATCATCATCATTAAATCTTGTGGTCAGGCGCCTCCTTTACTGGTATTTGCACAACTGCCCTTCTTATAAGGTGAGGGGGTGCCCCACCAATGCATTGATAGCATCCCTATCATAGGAGATGGATGTCCTGCTAATGCAAAACTTCTTCTCAGATTTTTGTGGATGCAAGGACCATCCATTGGCATAAAATTCCTTCACTATGTCTTCATCAATTTTATTTGGTGGGTCAGCCAATGTATTCCATTTTTTCCTCTAAAGTTCTTCTGTAAATTCAGCAAATTGTCCCTCCTCTAAAATAATTTTCCTTTCAGGCAGAAGTTTCCTTGGGTGTAATTCCAAATATCTCTGAAAATAGGCTCGACTGAAGAACTTGTATATGTCAAAGGTAAGTTGTTAACTGAGGCACGGTTGTGTTGGAGGTTTATCATCCTGAGTTGCTCTTTAGTGTACATGTTGTGAAGCCTCTCCAACATTTGAATGTTGCTTCTTTCTCTGAAGAATTGATTTTTTAGGAGTCATATCTGCAAAGTAACAAATCTTAATACTCAAAAAAATGGAAAATAAACATACAGAGAGACGCTTAAGCCACAATAGCGTGCTTAAGTGTTTATTTATAGAAACAAGCGCCTCCACATAAAGCATGATCTCAATCTAACAACAAGCAGAGTGATAATCCTAAACCTTAAAAAGTTTAACATTAAACCCTTGAAACCCTTAATCCATAATAGTATCCCCATCCCCATTAACCATCCCTAACCTAAAAGTAAGAAGAACAACAATGTGGTGTAAGAATTAGTACACCAAAGAGCAAAGAGCAACTCAGGATGATGAACTTTCAACACAACCAAGTCTCAGTCAACAACTGACCTTTGACAGATACATGTTCTTCAGTCGAGCCCATTTTCAGAGATATTTGGAATTACACCCAAGAGAACTTCTGCCTGAAAGGAAAATTATTTTGGAGGAGGGACAATTTGCTGAATTTACAGAAGAACTTTAGAAGAGAAAATGGAATACATTGGCTGACCCACCAAATAAAATTGATGAAGACATAGTGAAGGAGTTTTATATCAATGCATGGCCCTTGCATCCACAAAAATCTGAAAATAAGTCTTGTGTTAGAAGGACATTCATCTCCTATGATAGGGATGTTATCAATGCATTACTGGGGCACTTCCTCACCTTACAAGAAGGGCAGTTGTGTGAATACTAGCAGAGGAGGCGTCTGACCACAGGATTTAATGATGATGATGTAGCAAGGTCCTTATGCATTCCTAACAAATTATATGAAATTAACTTTCAAGGTAAGCCAATAAGGTTCAAGAGAGGGAATTTGAAGACATTGGCTCAAATATGGATGTCATTTCTCTACGCAAACATTGCTCTAACTACTCACACATCAGATCTACACATGTCTTAGGCCTACCTTGTCTTCATCATTATGAAAAACCTCACAATCGACATTACGACTATGATCTTTGAGGAGATTCACCAGCTTGTTATGTCCACCAACTCTTCTACTGCATTTGCAACAAAGCCCTTGGGCTTCCTGACATTAATCACTGCTTCATGTGCTGCCTAAGGTGTTCAGATACCAAACAATCCAACACAAAGCATCAAGTTGAAATAACCTATAAATGCTCAGTTCATAAACAACTATTGCATTAATCCATTGGACTAGCCACAACCACATCCAACTCATGACCCTTCTTCATCAGCACCACCATCAGCACAACCATCTATCCCCAAAATGACACCCATGGAATAACGTATCACACAACATCTGAATCAAATACAGCAACAAATGGAGGACAACAACCGGGCATATACACACATTCACTATTAGATGGTGGCAAACCATCAAGTCTATACTAGCCTTAATGAATTTTTCTATCGCTTTACCCTACATCAGCATGCAGGAGAGACTTCAACATTTCTATGGCCAACTCCAGAGGATTTTGCAGCTGTAGTGTCATGGCCTGAAGACACACCTTCCTTCCCAAATGAACATAATGCAAATCATGAAGATGGTGGACCACAAGGAGAAGAAGCAGAAGAAAAGGGAGAAGGAGAAGGGGAAGCACAACTTAATCATGAAGGTGGTGATGGGGAAAGAGACCACGTGGAGGACGACCAACCTATTCATGATAGTGTTGCTTTAGAAGATCCATGAACACTTTGTTTTTTCTTTATTTGGTTTTCAAATTTTAGATTTTAGTTTATGTTTGGAGTTAGTTCATATTGTAAAGTTTCAAAGACCTATTTAGTTTGTTGCAGCTAAATTATGAAATTTTACTTTATTTATGAATATCTAAATTTCTTTTAATTTGATTCTCTTTTATAATTTGTTTGACTTGTTTACTAAATAAACTCAACAAATTACCTTATAAATTAAAACTTGTCACATACAATAATCATTTTATTTCCTTTTGCCAAAAATAATTATATAAAGGACAAATGTATTTTATTTTCAGAAGTAGTGTATCCATGTCTGTCAATTTAAGTTGCTATTTTTCAGTTTTCTTGCATATTCGCTTAAGCCCCCCAATACTAGCTTAAGCTCAAAATGTTCGCTTAAGTCATTCTGTAATAGTTTAAGCTAGTTTATCAGTCTAAAAGAACATTTTCTCTATATTATTTTTATACAATTTTTGCTCAAGTTAAAGCATATTTGCTTAAGCTATTTGTTTATCCGCTTAAGCCAAGCCATGCACGCTTAAGCGAAAGTGTAATCGTGGGAGGTGTGCTCTCTGTTTTTTTAGGCTTAAGCCATTAAGATATCATTTAAGCCTATCATTTACTCGCTTAAGCCTTAGAAATGTGTGCTTAAGCCCACAACTCACCAGCTTAAGCCAAATCAAGCACACTTATGTCAGTTTGTAATCTTGAGAGGTAGGCTCTCTATTATTTTTCGCTTAAACGCGTATATTTTAGCCTAAGTGTCAAGCACTCGCTTTAGTTCATTGTCTCGCTCCATGCATGTAGTACTCGCTTAAGCCTTCATTTGCTTAAGTTAGGGCATATGGGCTTAAGCAAAAAATGTAAAATTCGCTTAAGCCTTGTCAAAACAGCTTAAGCGAACAAACAATTGCACGTGCAGTTTCCGCATCAACTGCACTTGATCTGTATCCCAAAACAATATCAATTCACAGATTAAGTCTATTAAATATAAATTATTATAAATTCAAAAATTCTATGCATTGAAACTATTTTCAATTAGATGCAGAAAAATAGATTTGATATGTATTTGTGTCAACATTTGTGAATTTAAATTTTAATAAATTTGATTTTATTTAAGTGAAACTATTTTCAATTATTGCTAATATCACAATTCATGATTAAGTGATAGCGTAATTTTTTGGTATCAATATATTTTAATTAAATTCTAAATCTAAATGTATGATTATTTGTGTAAATTTCACATGTACTTAGTTATATAATCGTTACACTTCATCACAATTTTTTATTACTTTTATTTAATTCACTATACATATTAATTCTTATCTTATCTTTATTAATTTAATTCACGTAAATAGGGGTCAATTTACTTAAAAAATTATATATTAAAACACTAAAATATTTTTTAGACAAATACCTGTAATTATTGTAAATTTAAAGTTACTAAAATTTTGTCAATTAATTGATAAAATTATCTAGATTAGTTTTATTGTTTTTATTTGATTATTTTCCTTTTAAAGGCAAGTATTTCTAGTTACTATAATTATAATAATTACCATAATTTCATCATTCGCTAAAATTATCAAATCTGCTAACTTATTTTTCCAATTAATTATTCTCTGTTTAGAACAAATATTTCTAATTATTAATACTAGTTTTAAGATCGTGTAACTACTGAGTTGTTTTTTCTTTTGCATTTTATTAGTATTATTAAAAAATAAATTTAAATTGAAAAAATTAAATATTAATTTAATCATAATAAATATTTTATTATATTAAATAAGAATAAAATAGAAAAATTTAAAATTTTAATTAAAATATATTAACAGTGTAAAAAAATTAACAATAACATTGATCATAGACTATGTCATATCAATAAAAAAAATATTAAATTTATAGTAATTATTTTAAAAATTATATTTACTATTAAAATTAATTTTAAAACTAAGAAAAATTGAGAAGATAATTTTTTAATAAAAATATAAATATTTTTTAATATAGTGTGTTAAAATTTAAAAATATAAAAATTATGATTGATTAATGTTATAATAGTATTAAAATTCAATTTATATGAAAAATAGTATTTTAATATAGTATATTAAAATTTAGATCAAATTGCCAATGAACATATGGATTAATTGGACGAATTGTTGTCATTCAACCTATAGTCTGAGTTTGATTATCTGTGAATGCAGTTATATTAATTCCTTAGATGAGTTTTATCAAACCTAATTCGAACAGAATTGAATTCCAAATTTAAAAAAAAGTATAAATAAATAAAAATTATAAAAATAAATATTCATAAAAAATATAGGATAATTTTTGTTTAAGTCTTACAAGAAATATTCTAATTGTATTTCTAGTCAATTAAGACATTTTAAGTTTAAAAGTTCTTACTAACTAAGTATTCTAAGAGCATTAATTAAAATATTAAAAATCTAAAATTTTAATAAATTACGTTGAACAATATTAAAAATCATAGGAGAATGTGTTTTAATATCATTAAATATTTTTTTTAATAATAATTATTTTCCTTAATATAAAGGATGAAACATATATATATATATATTATACAATTATAGTTAATTTTCTCACGGGATGTGAATATTTATTTGAAAATTTTACAACAAATATTTAATAAAATTTATTTATTATTAAAAAGAACATTCTAGGGTGATCGTTGTAATTAAAACTACATAGCAAATATATAAGATAATTTAAATTTTATTTTATTTTTATAAAGAACTTGTCGAAGTGTGTTCATGAAATCACGGAGTCAAACAGATAGAATAAGAATTAAAAAAAATATATTTTACTATGAACAAAAAAGTCATTTAATGTTTATTCGTATTATCGTATATAATTAAAAACATTTAATAAAATATATTTAATGTTTTTGCCTTATGTATGTTTATACACAATAAACATTTCTTTTTAAAAAGAAAACTTTTAGTGGCTATTTAAGAATGTGCTATATAAAATATTATATTAAAAATATAAATATTTATTATTCAATCTTTTAAATATTTTATAAAATATTAAATAAGGCATATATTAATGCTTTTATACCATTTATCAATGCACACAATGAATACCTCAAACTTTTAACCCAATTGTCCTATTATAAATATTCAATTCTCCTTCCTCAAAACGAAGTTAGTGGTGAATTACTATATGGTAAATTTCTAATGCACCCATGAACCAGAAGATGAATAACTTGGAGTCGTTTCCTCCTATTCTCCGCCACCTTAACCACTCACCACCACCTAATCTATCCCTAGATGACCATGACCATGACGATTCGATCCAAGAGGAGCAAGATCCCATTCCAATCATAGATCTTCAATGCTTAACCCATGACAAGAACAAGCTTGAAGAGGCTTGCAAGCATTGGGGGTTGTTTCGTTTGGTTAACCATGGGGTTCCATCAACCCTTTTGACCCAACTTCAAAACCAAGCCCAACAACTCTTCTCTCTCGCTTTTCAGTCCAAACAGGCCTCATGTAATGATGGCCCTATTAGTTACTTTTCGGGCACCCCTGTCCTTACTACATCTGGGACTGCCCTAACAAGGGCTCCTCAGAACATCAATTTGCTTGAAGGTTTCAACGTGCCTTTGCCTCACCTTTCTCAATTTCAATCTCAACTTCCCGTGCTCGATTATTTCAGGTATGCAAGCAAAAACACGCCTTGAGTTTCTCTTGTTTAACCTTTTTGTTTGTTTGTTTGTTATTTATTTGTAATATTTTTTTGCTGTGTGTTCCAAAATATTCTATAATAAAAAATAATATTTTTTATTAAAAAGTTCTAACATTTAATATTAAAATTTTTACTATTATTTTGTTATATATTATAATTTTTTATACACTACTCGTAGTCCTATTTATAAAAAAAATGTATTGATATTTTTTTATCTTCTATATATATATATATATAATATTTTTCAAATACATTAATTATTAACAGTGGATTATTATACTCACCCTTTATCCATTTAATACGTTCATTTATTTAATATATAATACATCGTTTTGACATTTTAATACCATGAATATTTTTAAAATAGGATATAAATTTATGACATTTGATTACTATTTATTATTGTTGTTATCTATAATGGAGGATACATGTATATTTAAAAAGAAAATACCTTAATAAATTCGGTATTTATTTTGTTGTAAATAGGATTGAAAATGTATAATTTTTGAATGTATGCGAAAGAAAACGCGTTAAAAAATGATTTGTTAATATTGAGAAATTAATGAGGCTTGGTTGCGTGCATGTCGTGGTTGGCAAGGGTTTTGCTGGTGGACTATGGAAACCATTTGAGCAGAATTGGTAGAACTTTATTCGAAGCTATGGTGGAGAAGCTTGACTTGAGGCTTGAGTCATCGTCGTCGTACATGGCTGAAAGCACGGGAATTGTGCGGGTTTATCGTTATCCACATTGCTCGAACTCAAATGTTGGTTTGGGCATGGAGGTGCATACTGATAGCTCAGTCTTGTCCATATTGAACCAAGAAGGTGAAGTGAGTGGACTAGAGCTGCTCAAAGATGATCAATGGGTGACTGTAAAACCCATTTCCAACACCTTAATTATCAACCTTGGCGACATGATGCAGGTCCAGATTTAATTTATTTTTATAAAAAAAAATATAATTATTTAATCTTCTAATGTTATTTTATATTTTATTTTATTTTATACTTTTTTTCTTTGTTTAGTGATAAGGTTAGATTATAAATTTAATTTCTATGTTAACATTTTTTTAATTTAGTCTTTACAAAAAAATTAAAATTTAATCCTTTTATAAATAAATATTTTTAAATTGGTTTTTATTGTTTAATACACTTTAACGCATTACATAAAGGATTCAAAAACGTAAAATAATCTCTTATAAAGATTAAAACATAATTTTTTAACTATAGAAATTAATTTATAAATAATGACTAACTTATATTATAATTTAATTTAATCTTTAAAATATATTTATTTCTTGATTAATAAAAAATTTACTTTATATCATATAATTTTATTAATTTCAGTCTTTAATTAAATTTAAACATCTGAACATAAAAAAAATATTAAACAAATATTTATTATATTAAAATTTTATATAATAAATATTTCTCTTTTTAACAAAATTTTATTATAATTGATTCTTTAAATTTAATCTTAAAGGTTGGAATTAATTTATCTTTTATTTAATTCTTTTTTATCTTTTATCATAGTTTCAAATGAAAGAATAAAATAACAACGTTAATATTTTTATTACATATTAATTACAATAAAATATTTTATAAAAACTTTATGAGGAAGAAAATATTTATTATTTTTAGAATATGAAACTATACTATATATACATTTTTAGTCTTTTAAAATATTGTATTTTTATTTGTTACTTCATTTTTTTAACCAAGTTTTTTTAATTATAATTAAAATACACATTTAGTTATAATAAAAGTAGAATAAATATTTATTCTTTTAATACACATTTGCTCTCTCCATCTCACTCTCCCCAATTTGTAGGATTTATTGTGTGTATGGAACTACAAAAGAAAAAATGAACTCCTCCACTCTACCAAACATGTTTCTCTTCTAATTCCTTTCTTTTTCTATTTCTTTACTCCCATCCAAACAAACGATAAGTGTTATGAGTTTTTCTCTTCATTTTATTTGTATATCCTTTCATTGTTTCCAATTTAATTACCAATTCAAGATTTGTTAATGTAAAACTTTATTCTTCAACATATAATCAAATATTAATTCTTTATTATTATTATTGGTATTAATGGATAATACTTTTGTTTAGGCAATAAGCGATGGCAAATACAAAAGCGTGACGCACAGAGTGAAGCTAAACAATCATAGAGAAAGGATCTCACTTTGCTACTTTGTGTTCCCTAAAGAAGACATTGTGATTGAAAGCTCCAAGTACAGACCCTTCACTTATAATGAGTTCAGAACACAAGTGCAACAAGACATCAAGACCCTAGGCCACAAAGTTGGACTTGCAAGGTTTGAGCGCAATTAGAATAATTGGCTCTATCATAAATGTTCTTAGTCTTCTCGTGATTATGAAATAAGCATGAAAAATGAGGCTTATTGGCATTACAAAAACGATGCTTGCTGAAGACTAATTGGTCGTTTAACTCCGCGTAAATTTTGATTCTGACTAATTGTTCAATCTTCATATGATGAGCAGCGTGAATTGTTGTAGAAAATGCACTGTGATAATTGAAATTGCATCCACATGCATGTGAATGTGATCAATGCAATCAAAATATTATTCAGTAATGCTATGCAGTTCAAATATTTGGTTTCAGTGACTGACCGCTGGGTTCAAATTAACCAAGGGAGAGAAGAAAGGATTTTAATGGAAGAGAGAAAAATAATTTTAATAAAGGAAAACGAATATTTTATTTGACTTATGATTTTATTATTTTATTATTATATACTTAAAATAATTGAATATACATATTAAATTCAATATGATTTTGTTTGGTTAGTTTAAAAAAAAATCTCTCTCCTAAATCTTTCGCTGTGTAGAAGAGAGAAAATTGAGTAAGAAAGATTTTAACTTCTTCATTTTCCTTACAAAATATTAAACTAAACATAAAAAATTATACAAATCCCTTCCTTTTCCTCCACTTCCCGTGAGTTTATAATTAACTCAAATGTTTAACTTCATGCATTTTTCAAATCATTTAAAGCTTATTTGGTTTGTCTTTATATATATATATATATACTTTTTCCGAAGATTAAAAACAAAGTTGAAAACATGTTTTTGTTTCAATTTTTTAAAATTATTTAAAAAAAAAAAAACACATCGAGGAGCAGGTCCAAAAAAAAAAAAAGTCTAGGAACATGTCAAAATATATTCTTTACCAAATTTTAAATATATTCTTTAGAATTTTCTTATATCCTCCTGTTTATTCTCTTAATAATTCTCATATTTCTTTATAAAATAAATATTAAATAAAACATATATTTATTTATTATTTTAAAAAATATAAATTTTTAATTATTTTTACTTAATAATTAGGAAGAGTTGTGTATATAAATAAGAGGTAAGATGATTTAGAGTTATTCTATTATTTATTATTAGTTAGAATTTATTAAAATTACAACATAATATGATTCTAACTCTTAATTTAATAATTTCTTTGCGTATTTATATTTTTTAATATATTTTAGTTAATAATTAATAATATTAGAAATTTTGTATTAAAAATATGTTTCTAAATTTTTCTTCTTTAAAAATATTTAAAACATAAATAGAAAGATGAGGAGTAATTAGTCAAGCACACTTTTTAGATTTTTTTAAATAACAATATATATATATATATATATATTATTAAATTAGAAGTAAGATTTATATAATTTTTTATTTAAAAAATTTAAGTTATAATAGGCAATGTGTTAAAAAATATTTTAAATAACATGTCTGATAAAATATTTTGTACAAGAATTGAAAAGCATCAATTCCATAATTATAAATAAGTTATATCATCTCTTTTTTAAAAGACATGGAGTTTATTAGCAAAAAAAAAAAAAGAAGACAGAATTTAAATTTTCTCTCATTATTGTGAAAGTTAGACTCTGTAATTTATTTTCGCTTAACGAAAATTAAGATTTACTTAATCAAATTTTATAAAATAACATTAAATGCACGCAAAATTTGTTAAAGCGAATTTTGATGCTTCTCTTTCCATAATTTTATTTTATTTTGAGAAACGCAAACATGTTTCTTTTTTCATCTGGAGCAGCAGTAACTTGGGCTCAGGCTCATCATTCTATACTCGAGAGGAAGGGAGAACAAGCAATTTACAGTTTCAAAGCTAAAGTTTCATTGGCTCTAGTATTCAGTGGCTTTCAAGGAATGGAAAATTATAAGCACCCTTCAATATTTCATATAGTATTTATGGCTTTACCTTGTGTGGGGCATTATTTGAGGTTTTTGGATTTGGGGTTGGAAGATTTTTTGGGTTTTGCAGATGAACATTAAGGTGGGGCCGGGAGGGGGGGGGGGTTGGGGAAAAACGATGAGAAAGTGTTGGTGGCGGAGGTTCTGGGAAGTAGTGCTTTTGGTTACTTGGTTACAAATTTTTGAATGAGAGTTTGTTAATGACTTTTACGAGTGGCTAGAATCTGAAGAACAAACTTTCAGATCTTGTGGCGCCCCACGGTGTCTAACTTTAGTTGGATCTATGCAATATTTTGGCAAATTTTGCAGTCCAAGTATGGTGAATGAGTTTTAGGTTGCGGAGAAGGGTGTTGTAGAGAACTCAGGGACGGAGAAAAAGGTAGAGGAGTGAGAAGGGTATTAAACTTTTTTGTTGACGATGAGAACTAGCAGAAGATGAGCTAAAAAGAAAAGTGTATTCGTTAAAAATATTCGCTTTTAATTTTTTTTAAGAAAAATAAATTGGATAATTTAGTTTCTACCACAATAAGACGCAAAACATTGGTATCACTTCATCTAATATCTTTTTCCCTCCCTTCATAAACTCATTTTTCATTAGTTATTCAAATCATCTTCTATTTTTTCAATAAACATCTTATTCCAGAGGGACAAAACTTTAATCTTGGTCTTCATACATCTCTATCCATATACGCATTTTTATTACTTGAATTCTCGTACTCGTTCTTTGTTAACATGACATGAGGGGTTATATTTGGGATCATTTGAGCCTATATTGGATGATTAGGTGTACCTCCTTGGGTCTCAGTATTAAGTGATAGAAGTTGCTCCTAACTCAAGTATATATATGCTAAGGACTTTACCTAATATTAGGAGTAGGAGTGGGCATTATTTGTGTATCCCACCAAAACCGTGAAACTCACAGAAATATTTTTCTTTTATGGGTTGAATCGGGTTTAAATATAGGCTGATGGAAAATAAAAGTTAATACGAATAAGCATGGTGGGTTTTAACTTTAAAATTTTACACCGACGATATAGATCTATAGTTGGTGTAAGAGGATGAAGGATTTATGTATTGTCTTTGAAAACGCAATGATAACGTATGGAAGAAGAGAAATAAAAAAAAGATGATGAAGAAAGGGGTTGAGAAAGAGGAAAGGAACATAACCAAAACTTCTAGTCATTCATGTCTACCATGCTCTTTCTCTTTGCACCACTTATTCTCTTTGCTACTTCTGATTTTATCATTGGTGGTGGTGAAGAGTGATTTTGACAGTAGTAGTAGAAAGAGGATAACCTAATGTAACTTACCTAAAGACCTCTATATTTAATTGATTAATGTTGTACTTAATCAAATAAAAAGCAATATGATATAATAAATTAGGAGACAAACTTTAAAGGAAACACAAAAAATTGGAGAGATATTGAATGCAAGAAAGAACATAATTAAAAATTTAAAATATAAAAAAATTTAATAAATCAAAAGCAGTCAAACTAAGATTTTTACTTTGCAAAATATATTTAGTTTCAAAATCAATCTCAATCTAACTTGTGAATTCAAATTAAAAAACACGTGCCTTTAATGTAAATTTCTTGAATAATCTTTAAACATGCATCTCTAATTTATTTGATTCGATATAGTTCTTTTCTATCTAATCTTAAAAGTTTGAATTACATGAACAAATATTTTAAAATTGTACGAGTAATAAATATAACATGTGAGAATTATTTAGAATCGTATCAACATAAACTGAAACTAAATTAAAGTATTTGTGAAAAATTTGAAGAGATAAGAAATAAGATTTTGAAGTTGATTAAAATAGAAAGCATTACCTACCTCATCACCTTGTGGGATCAAATTTGTAGATTAATTGATAAAATTATTCATCCATCATAATTATTAACATAAACGTAAGTTTAAGGACAATTGTGGAAAAACAAAAATAAATTTGCAAGAAGAAAAAGAGAAGAAATAAGAAAAAAACTCAAATTAATTCCATATCAAAAATAACAAAAATGTAAAAAGAAAAAAAATGGTAAAATAGAGGGATCTTTTAATTCCTCCAACTTATTCTCTTTATATATAGGCTAATCATAACTTAATGAGTTTAGAAAGTAAAAATAGACTATCAAGCCTAATTAGGTCCAAATCCTAATTATAAACTACTAATAGACACTTAATTTTTATAATTCTCATGACAGAATATGGGGATCAACTTCAAATTCATGTATCTTTTAGCACACAACTCCTAATCGAGTGAATAAAGTGTCAAATCAAAGTTTTTTAAATTAACTTTATAACGCAATAAGAATAACCAAAAAATTATACGCATATCAAAAGTTATAATCAAAATAGTAAACATAGGTCAAAAGTACTAAAATGTAATTAAGTAAAATTACTAATTAAGGTCAAATAGGCCCAAACAAATAAAACTAGTCTAAAACAATAAAATGTTGTTTGGAAAGGGAGTTTTGGAGGGAAGGAAAAGAGAAAACAAAATTTATATTTTAAATAAATATATTTAATATTTTTAAAAGTAAAAAGATATAAATTAATATATTAACAAAAACTTAATGTATTAATGATATATTTATCACCATAAATAATATATAATTTTTTAATTTAAAATTAAAATATATGTCTTCCAGTCCTTTTCCTTCTAAAAACTCTCTCCCAAACATACCTTAAAATAATCATAAAAATAATGTCAAGAAGTATTTATCACTGGTTAACTCACTGTCCAAAAAAAAATTCAAAATTAAAGTCAATCAAAAATAGATCAAGACATTCATCCAACAATTGTTATTAAATAATTTCAACCTAAATTGAAATACACCCAGCCAATCAATGCCAACCCTATCTAATATCAAGCAAGTTTTAGCATTAGAAATAAATGTTTCAAACACTAAAATTGGTGCAAGAAATCACCTTGTTTTTTCTTAACCTCAACATATGCAAGAAAATTACACACTAGCAAGTGGAGACATTACTTGCTTAAGAGATAATTCATTATTAAGACAACCCTTTAGATAGACACCAAAAATAGCAATATTCGTTGGCAATGGCATGATTATGAAATTATTTACTGACATGATATTCATAATCAA